CCAAGATTTAGTAGAAGTCCCATTCTGAAGTTTTATGAGTGAGTGGCTCAAATCAGTTTTTTAATCCACTGGGTTTGTTTAGAGCAGAAACAAAACCAGGGACATTAGCAACTGGTACCACGTACTAGCACTACCTATTCAGACTGTGACTTGAGTGCATCAACAATGCAACACCTCTCTTTCGTTATGCTTGTCATATTCAACTGAAAATACAACATCACTAACAATCAAACAAACTTATCATCACTCAGTTGTATACCGCTTGCAAGTATGCTTCAATAGGAATCGGAGTTCTTTCTTGGCTTCTATCACAGCCAAGATTTAGTACAAGTCACATTCTGAAATTTTATGAGTGAGTGGCTCAAATCAGTTTTTTAATCAACTGGGTTTGTTTAGAGCACAAACAAAACCAGGGACATAAGCAACTGGTACCACGTACAAGCACTACCTATTCCGACTGTGACTTGAGTGCATCAACAATGCAACACCTCTCTTTCGTTATGCTTGTCATATTCGACTGAAAATACATAACTAACAATCAAACAATAAAATAAACTTATCATCACTCAGTTGTATACCGCGCGCATGTATACTTCAATCGGAATCGGAGTTGTTTCTTGGCTTCTATCATAGCCAAGATTTAGTACAAGTCACATTCTGAAGTTTTATGAGTGAATGGCTCAAATCAGTTTTTTAATCCAAAGGGTTTGTTTAGAGCATAAACAAAACCAGGGACATTAGCAACTGGTACCACGTACTAGCACTACCTATTCAGACTGTGACTTGAGTACATCAACAATGCATACACCTCTCTTTGGCGAGATTTATCATATTCAATTGAAAGTACAACATCACTAACAACCAGACAATAAAATAAACTTACCATATTTAATTGTGTACCGCTAGAAAGAATACTTCAGTTGGTGTTGTTTCTTGGCCTCAATCACAACCAAGATTTAGTACAAGTCACATTCTGAAGTTTTATGAGTGAGTGGCTTAAATCAGTTTTTTAATCCGTTGGGTTTGTTTAGAACATACACAAAACCAGGGACATTAGCAACTGGTACCACGTACTAGAACTACTTATTCAGAGTGTGACTTTCAAGAGAGCTGCATCAGCAATGCACACATCTCTCTTGCGCTATACACATGATATTCAACTGAAAATACATTACTTACAATCAGACAATAAAATAAACTTACCATCCTTCAACTGTGTACCGCTAGCAAGTATACTTCAATCGGATTCGGTGTTGTTTCTTGGCTTCTATCACAACCAAGAGTTAGTAGAAGTCACATTCTGAAGGAAATTAGCAACTGGTACCACGTACTAGCACTACCTATTCAGACTGTGACTTGAGTGCATCAACAATGCACACACTTCTATTGGGCTATGCTTATCCTATTCAACTGAAAATAAAACACCACTAACAATTAGACAATAAAATAAACTTACCTTATTCAACTGTGTACCGACAGAACGTATACTTCAATTGGTGTTTTTCTTGGCTTCTATCACAACAAAGATTTAGTACAAATCACATTCTGAAGATTTATGAGTGAGTGGTTCAAATAAGTTTTTTGATCCACTTACGAGCAATACTTATTCAGAGTGTGACTTGAGTACATCAACAATGCACACAGTTCTATTGGGCTATGCTCATGTTATCTAAAAAATACAACATCACTGTCAATCAAACAATAACATTAACTTGCCATCATCCAATTGTGTACCGCTAGCAAGTATACTTCAATCGATGTTGTTTCTTGGCTTCTATCACAGCCAAGATTTAGTACAAGTCATATTCTGAAGTTTTATGAGTGAGTGGCTCATATCAGTTCTTTTAACCACTGGTTTTGTTTCCAGCAGAAACAAAACCAGAGACAATAGCAACTGGCACCACGTACTAGCACTACCTATTTCAGACTGTGACTTTCAAGAGAGCTGCATCAACAATGCACACAGCTCCCTTGGGATTTGCTCATCATATTCAACTGAAAATATAACATCACAATCACACAATAAAATAAACTTACTATTATCCAATTGTGTGCCACTAGCAAGTATACTTCAATCGGAATCAGTGTTGTTTCTTGGCTTCTATCACAGCCAAGATTTAGTACAAGTCACATTCTGAAGTTTTATGAGTGAATGGCTCAAATCAGATTTTTGATCCGTTGGGTTTGTTTACAGCAGAAACAAAACCAGGGACATTAGCAACTGGTACCACGTAATAGCACTACCTATTCAGACTGTGACTTTCAAGAGAGCTGCATCAACAATGCACACACCTCTCTTGGGCTATGCTTATCATATTCAACTGAATGTACATCCCAAGTCATTGCCCTATGTACCTTCAGGCGGAACAAGGACTATGTAGGTATGTAGATACATTCTGTAATTTTATTATAGGTTAGTTGCTGAAAACAGTTTTATTTAAATCATTGGATTTTTATAGCCTAGAGAAAGCTGGAGACAATAGCAACAGGTACCATTCATCATTTGGGTTAACACTATAAAGCGAAATATTTCTTTGTTTTTATAGTATATTAGACTACCTGGACAATCTAAGTACAAATTCTGTTAAGATATTATAGCCTAATATTTACATTTGCAAATGTTTTCCTTTATATAACACTACTGAAGGCAAGCGTTTTTATAACTGTGTAAATACAGGTATGGGGTCAAGAGGTCATAGATGTGCGTTTGGATAAACGTTCGACGTAATTTCTCTGTGACGTCATAAAGGGTCGACGCGCGTTTAGTGGATTACATACATGCCGTTGGGTTTGAAAAATTAACGCATTTCACACGTTAAAAGTAACAATCAGGCAAATATAAAGTATGAATAAGTCACAAATGTAAATATAATAATAAATTTCATTTTTTCCTTTTTATTGAATATGTAAAAAGGGTTGCCAAACGTGATCAAATCTTCCATAAAGCCCTTCGGGCTTTATGGGATTTCCAATCTTAATCTTATTTATTGACCCGTTTTACATCTCAATAAAACTCAAAAAATGATACCTTATTTCTTAAATAAATTACTTATATAACATTCATGTTATCCATACAATTAACAAATTCTGTATGACAAAAAATAATATTTCAGAGCAACGCTGTATGATTAATTGCTTAGAGTGACGTAGTTCGGGTACTTGGGAATATTTCAGTGTTATTTAAGGAATGAAGCTTATTTCAACTGATGTCAACTTATCCGATATAACATAACTTGGGGCAGTTTACGCTTTATAAACCGCGAAGCCAAAATCTCCAAACCTGTTTTTTTCCACCATATTTCTATCTTTCGATTTTTCCTTCAGTCCCTGCATCCAAAGACTTCGCGGCCTACAACTCGTGTGGAGTCATGGTAACAGTATCCGGGTTATTTCCATTTTGTAACGTTCGGAGCAGATACGGTGTCAAATTCCGGAATTTTATCATATCTAAAGCTAAAAAAATTATTATATTAAAATAATAATAATAAATTTCAAATTTATTTCCTTTTTGAGTTTAATATTTGAAAAGTTTCTGTAACAAACGGGTAAAATACTAAAATTTATGAAAATTAAGGCCTTAAGTAAGATTTCTACTTATCCTTGACATGTCCTGTTTATGTCACATAATGTATACTGCACCTCAGACAGTCAGAATCTCTCAATTCATACTCAGCAAAATAAAATATGTTTAAGAATGAATTAGAAACCAACAACAAACATGTTTGTATGAATCAAACCTATCCGATTGCTTTTTTCCTTGTGTATTTTGCCTTTTCTATCTCTGCACACTTTCACGCTCCGTAACTCTTTGTTGACATATGATATCTACTTCCTTGGTAACCGATTCTAATTCGGAACAACCTCCGTCATTTTCTCACGCAGTTACCCAATATCCCCGAGTATTTCCGACTGTATCCTTCATAGACGAGTTATGCCCCTTTGATCGATATTTAGTGGCGGATCTTACAAATTACACGGAAAAATATATTTTTATGGACAATTAAACAATAATCCAGGCTTCATTTACAGATCACTGGAAAGAAATTTTAAATAGAGGAAGGGCGGAAGGTCGAAGGGGCATTTCCTATTGAAATTCTTGACAAGCAATAGATAAATAAATAAGTAAATAAATGAATAAATAAATTATTATTAATAAATAAACAAATAAAATAAAAAAAAAAAAGAAGGAGGATGATTACTTTATAATTTTAGTTAATTTATTTATAAAACTTGGATTTCTTTTGCATAGTTCATTGAGGAGGTCCAACAATTGGCTGAAAAAATATTTTATTTTTTCATTGTTGTAAAGCATCACATTGATAGGCAACATATTACCCCCACTTTTCAGCCTCCGTTTCATACAGGTTTCTTACACAGCTAGTGTTTTGCAAAAGACTGATACAAAGCATCAAATTGACTGCAGATAAAATTATAAATCAGTAAGCTTTTCAAAAGATTTTTCAAAAATAGAATCCAAAAAATCAAAGAATTTTTTAATTAGAAAAAGTGAAAACAGGTATATTTCAAAACTCTATTTATAAAAGCAAATTATTTGAAGAACTTTTTTGTACACAAATTGCAAATAAACAGGCCGCAAGACGATAAACTGAGATAATACAGCCATTGTATGAGTTTTATCTTACTGACAAACATGTTTCCAAAAAATTGCATGTTCGTATAATATTTGCATTTAGAAAAAAAAAAACAAGAGGAAAAATTGTTTGATTATGGAACACTATCAACCATTTGTGATTGTGACTTTTTAAGTCTGTCCTCGCATTATAGTCTTGACAGGGCGCACATTAAAAAAAATAAATGGCGCCTTACCTCTAGAGATTAATACTTTCCCTATACGTATGTGTTCATAGTCATTCGATAAAGCATGTGAAATAAAAAAAATGCATGTATTTCATGTATTTCAATATATATAGATTTTTTGAACTTTGAGAGCAGAGGAGAGCGGAGGGAACTTTAGACATCGGAACAATTTAACTCGACACCGCTTACTCTCACGTGACGACGATAGTAAACCAAAAGTAAAATAGGCCCTAGAACTTGCAGAAGTAAAGAGAGGATACCATCATCAGAAGGTGAGTTACTGTTATAAAGGAAACATGAAATGTAAAATTGTTATTTCTCTTTAAACTGTAAATCAAACATTGCATGCTGAGCAGTGGGACTGACATTTACAAGCGCGAAGATGCATCATTAGGCCTAACGTTAGACCTAATTTTTTTCATTCAAACAGGTTGGGACCACTCGCCAAAATAAGAAATGATAGCCTGTTTCTGATGTAATATCCCAGATGGGATGCCATAAATTTACCAATTTATATTTTACAATACCCCAAACGGACTATTATATCCAATCTGGGCGCGTGGTCCCAATCTGTCAAATATCTTACTAATCAGGCGCGGATCCAGGAATTGAAGTTAGAGGGGGCGCCAAAAATAGGCAGGGGTCTGGGGGCCAGTGCTGAGTGGGTCCAGGGCAAAGCCCTGATGGGGGCCCAAGGGACGAAGCCCCCGGAAGCTCCTGGATTCTAGAGATTTTGTAGGGTAAAAAAGAGGTCTACCAAGTAGACATATTTACATTTTCTAGACGAAACTGTGATTTACGCTAACTTTGACAATTTAACTTTTAGCAATTTAACCCCCTTAAATCTGCCACTGCTAATAATTTGTTTGAATGAAAAATTAATGATGCACCCATTTATGTATCTGACTAGATGGTTCCATATATCTAAACCAAATAATTCACACTGACAATAATACTGAAATGACCTGCCCTAGTGGGGGAACTCAGATCAGTAAGACACATATAAAAGACAAAGGGGGGGGGGGGGTATGGCTTAGTCAGGAGGTAGGCCTAGTCGGTGTCTTGAGACCTTAAAGTCGACCTAGGGTGACAGAATATCTTAGGAGGAGGCTAACGCTTCAATAGACCTGTAAATTATACGACACAATAGGGGATCAAGAATTCTTGGAACAGAAGAGGGGGACCTAAATAGTTGGGGTGGGGATGGGGGACCAGGAGGCAAAACCCACAGAAGTTCTCAAGCTTCTATTAATTGATGGAAACCTATGGTCTGAGTCTTGCAGGGTATGTGAGATTGGCTATGTTTTATCAGACGTACAGTGTCAAGTTTTATGAGTTTTTGAAACAGTTTTTTGACTTTTAAATTATTTTAACTGTATTTTGATATAATTTATGTAATATCCAACACCCAAACTTTGATTTATTTCTAAAATCTTGTTTATATTTTGGTCACAAAAATTGGGTGTTCCTAGACCCATGTCTAAATCTATGAGTGTTGTCATTCAAAATGCTGGTATGTTTGTAAAAATTAAGTTCCAATTTCACTTGTTATTTCATGTTTCTGATATCTGAAAAAATCCAATAAGAACTATAGGCATAAGAATTTATTTTCAGTATTTCTTCATTGTTTAGAACCTAGAAAATCTAGGGCTTTAACTCTATTGCATGCATGCATGTTTACACAGATACATGTATAGGTTTTAACACCCCCTGAAATTTAGGTAAAAATTCCTAAATGACCTTATAATTGATTTCATATTGAAGGTGGGAATTGAAGATAAACTAACAATTTACTTATTCATAAATTGAAACAAAGAAACAAAGACATATATATAGTTCCCTATCTTGCCTTTTTTTTTTAAAATCTTAAATGTTTGAAATTATGATGAAATTTAAAGTGTATCACTCAATAAGCCATTGGAATATTGTAGAATAAAAATATTCCACTGAATTATCTTCTATGAGTTTTCCATTTGGACATTACCCTCTGTTCCTAACAGGTATACGGTAATAGCAGTTGAGCATTATTAATGCACAGCCATTGTATGTGCTGTGTACACTCCTTACTGACTGAGACTTGAATTCTCTTGGCACTGACCACTCAGAGCAGATAAAAATACAAGTTAAAGTATTTCCTCCATAAATATGCCCCCAATTTAATAATCATTTTTAAGTAAATTTAATATGAACAGTAAATATCTAAAGCTAATTGTGGAGTTGTAGAGCATTCACTGATTAAGATACTTACTATATTTACATGTATTTAGTTTGCAACAGATAAACAAACAGTTTACACAAGGAACAAAGCCCTGAATATAAATCCCTGTATTGAATTTACATATCAAAAATGTCAGAAATTCAATAGCATTTAAGTAGTAAATACAGGTTGTATCCAACTGAATCAAAGTTCATTGCCCCTACAATGGCCTTTATGGCCAATTCTCCACTTTCAGCTTTACTTAATGTCAGAGACCAGAAGAGCTTATACAATACACAGTGTAGTATGAAGCATACAAGTACATGCAGAATGTATGTCTAAAGTGTCTGTCTCATAGATAGAATTTTTGCTGATAGAACCAACACACAATCCCCCTCCAATACTCCCCGATTATCAGCTGAGGGTCTCATTGGATATATATCTTCATAAATTATGACTATTTAATTTTAGTATAAACTTATTTTACCCCTGCAGGTCTTTTCCTGGATTAAAAAACATAAATTCATTTTATTTCAATCTATTAAAAAATGTACAATATAAACCCATGAGAGATTATTACATGATGTAAACAAATTGAATGGGTTATAGATTCTTTTTGTACCTCCATTACCTTTACCGAAAAATTTTTCAATAGACGGATTGTAATCGTATTAAAAGATTAATTTTGGGATGCAGAGTCAACCCAGTAACATGAACTAAGACAAATATGTATATGTATGGAAACAATATAGAAATTTATTTTAGGTAAAAATAAATACATTACATAAACAGTAAAACTCGTTTAGTACAAACACAGATATTGCGAATTCACTGATATAGCAAAGTTATCTTGGATCCCCAGCTTTATGAATTTAACAAATTCCTTATAAAGATATGTCGAATTATGGATATAGTGAAGTAATTTCAGAGGTCCTAGCGACTTTCTTACATTTAATATCAAGTTTTTCTGTAGATAGTTTGTATGTGCATTCACATTTCTTTGAATTTCTCACAATATCACATTTTCACAAGAGAATTTTTATATAATATATTTTATATAATTTAAATGGACCAGAATAAACATGCTAACAATATATTGTCACAAATAATTTTTTTGCATCTGTAAGATTTCAACAGTGGTACATGCAAGCCATTGATCACTGGATATTAGGAGAGGTACTTTGATTATAAAGCTAAGGGTAATCTTGCTTCTTGGAATTCTAAATTCAAAGCCAAATTTTGTAGAAATAAAATAGTAAGAATATTATTAAAATGAAATTTCAAACAAGACTACTGTAAACCAACTTTTATTCGCGACGACCTTATTTCGCGATGTACCGGGAGTAAACTAGTTCGCGACGATTAATTTTTGTGATCAAGCCTTTCTGGAACTGTTTTTAATAGAAAATGATACTTTAATGACCAGTTCGCGGCGACAAATATTCGCGAAGATAAGGCTCTCGTGAACCTCGCGAAAATTTCTCGCACGCGAATAAAAGTTGGTTTACAGTAATTTTTAGCTCACCTCTTCGAAGTTGGGGGAGCTTATGTTATACCTTCAGCGTTGGCGTTCCAGGTAAAGGTAAAGTTTTTTGGAGCAGTTTTATTTTTAAGTACTTCTATGTCTTATATTGATTAAACATGCATGGAAGATGTTCTAGTGTGTTTTATTGCACCAGTCAAGGTTTCAGATGCTGCAATTTTAGCAAAGGAATTACCAGCTTAATGTTTTTGGAGCAGGTTAACATTTTTGGTACAGTTTTTGGTGTAGATCTCATTTACAAGTAACTATAAGCCCTATATTGACCAAACTTGCATGGATGATACATGTAAGGATGCATACTACCAGGCTTGCTTCAGATGTTGAGCTGAATCTGACCCACATTTTCCGGATGAGTGAACAGGTTAATGTTTTTGGTGCAGGTTTTATTTCCAAATTACTGTGAGCCCTATAATGACCAAACTTGCATGGGTGATACATCTAAGGACGCATACAACCAGACTTACTTCAGATGCTGAATCTGACTTACATTTTCTGGATGAGTGAACAGGTTAATGTTTTTGGTGCAGGTTTTATTTTCAAGTAACTATGAGACCTATGTTGTCCAAACTTGCATGGGTGATACATCTAGGGATGCATACTACCAGACTTGGTTTGGATGCTGAATCTGACATACATTTTCTTGATCAGTGAAAAGGGTAGTTTTTTATGCAGGTTTCATTTCCAAGTAACTATGACCCCCATGTTGAGCAATCTTGCATGAGTGATACATATAAGGATGCACACTAATGGACTTGCTTTGGATGCTAATTTTACATACATTTTCCAGGTAATGGACCAGGTAAAAATTATGGGTGCAGGTCTATTACCAAGAAACTATAAGGCCTATATTAACCAAACTTGCACAAATTATGCATCGAGGGATGAAAATTGTCAAACTTGCTTCAGATGCTGGATTTGAATTACATTTCCTTGATGGGTGACTAGTTTTTGGATAGGTCTATTCCAAAGTAACTGCAAGCCCTATCAAATCAAAATTGCATAAATTTTGCAATTTTGGATGTAAACTTTTAGAATGTTGGTTAATTGTGTGACTTTGCCTTACTTAAAGACAACATTCGTTGAGGTTAGCTCTGTAATCTCTGATTACTTATGATTTTTCTTCAGGGATGGCAGGATATTTCAATGCCATGGTGAAGGGGGTTTTGAATGTTGTTGATGTAGCCCAAGCCAGCATCAAACCCTTCAAAGTAACAACTGTAAAGTTTGATGATTATAACAGGTAAATTTATAAGCTTTCCTTTTCATTAATGTCTTTTTAGATGGGCATAAACAGACCATTTGCATAAAAGTATTTATTTTTCAACTTACTTATTTTTAACTCACTTTTACAGAGGGCCAGAATTTGTTTCCATTGGTGACTTATTTGTTGGCATTAATTATAATATTATACCCTCAGACTATATTTACAAATTCATTGTCTTGTCGGTACACAGAGTGTTCAAGTGAAGGGCCAAACCTTTTTGCAAGGGGAAATGATTCAGAAATAGTGAATAAAAGTTTATTCTAGAAAGATCAAGAAAACTATCTTTTCAAAGCATCTCAAGAGCAACAAAACCATGATTATTGGTAGCTGACACTAATATAAAAGTATACTCAGGGATTGTAGATTCAAATTTGTTTAAATCAATGACATCTTGGGATAGCTCAAGACCACAACAGGAGATCAACATTATAGGAATATATAGAAAATTTCTTTCAAAATCTTCTCAAGAATAGCAAAGCCATGATTATTCATGAATATGTATACAGAAGCTTTATCACCCCTGTATAAATGTAGATTCAGGATTGTTTAAATCATATTCCCAAGGGATAGGATAGGGACAAAATACATGCAAAGGATTTATATCTTTAAAAATTATATATACTAGGGAAACATCTTTAAAAATTTTCTAATTGAAAGCCATTATTAGTCAAAGAAATATGGGAACATCATCAATTAGTGTATATTCAATATTATTTCAAATCATTTATCCCTTTTTTGGCTGGTGGGGTGAAGGGGCTTATACTGAACTAATTTCTTTTTTTTTCTAATTGAGAAATTGTATCTAGCATACAGAGCTTTGTTAAATAAGTGCAAGTATATCACATGATTGATTTAAAAGCAACAATGTTTCAGTGCACGACATATAATAATTTTATCAAAACTATAGGTTACTTATAAAGAGAGAAGATGGTCACATGACTTTGTTTCAACGACCTGGATCCTTTGAATGTGTGCTTTCCAACAAAGTAATGTATAAAAGCTTCAGGTGAGCTTATATACTCTATCAATTATATGTATAAGGCAACAGAATTTTTGGAAAAAAATGAAAAGAAAAGAAAATTAAAATTCTGATCAACCACGGTAAATGTATTAACTCTGATTTTCAGTATTTTCCGCATAACCAATGAGATTGATGCCCTCACCCAGTTTGAGTGTTACAGTTTCATTATCAACACTTTAGCCAATGCCAGCAGCTCGGTATATGATGAAAACATGCTTCAAAATATATCAGATGCCATTAAGTCAAATTTACATTGGAGACCAGCACATGTTGCTGCTTTTGTTGGGTTATATGAATGCTTCCACCATAAAAAAATCCAGTGGTAGGTATACATGTTAAATGATATACATGATATTTGATATTGAATTGCCTTTACATTTTGACAATCTTCCTTTCAAAAATAATATTTCAAACAGGGTCGAAACAATTAATACCCTTTTTCCTCTATCAACTGTATAATGATATCTGTGTCATGATACAAATTATGTATCATGATATTAATTTGAATTACATTGTAGATATTAAATGGCCTTTTTGTATTGAAATGATCTTGTAAACATTTCTTCTTAAAAATAATAATAATTTTTTCATAGAAACTGGATATGTGGAAAAAAAATTATTTTTCGAAAGTGAAGTTAATTATTATGCATTTCACATTTCAAATCTGAATTGTACTCCTTTTCAGTGATATTGATTGTCAAGTGGAAAAAACTCAGTTATCTCCCTTAATGGCAGCTGTGTTAGGGAAGCACACGCAGTGTGTGTCTGTTTTATTGGAGCATGGAGCCAGACTGGAGCTTCAGGACCAAAAGGGAGACACTGTATTCCACTATGCAGTGTTACATCACCCAGAAGTCATCAAAGTTAATAAAGAATCGATATTTTATTATGCTTTCTTGCCTGGAAGCTACTCCTTTGAGAGATGCTGAAATTTACTGTTGACTATATAGCTGTTGTCCTATTCTTAAAGCAAGAAATTTAAAAGGTACAAATATAATCTTGATCAAACAATTTTTATTCAGATTTTATCAGACCATGATAATACCAACAACCGTGACAAAGTCATTAATTACCTGAACAACAGTGGGATGACGGCCCTAGCCTGTGCCTGTCAGAAGGGGAAGTCTGAAGTTGTGGAGGCCCTGCTAGACGGAGGAGCAGACCCTAATATCACTGCACAGGACATGTATTCCATCCACCATGCTCTCAAGGCTGAGGACATCAGGTGATTCAATGTAACATCAGAAATAAGAGAAATTTTGAAGCACCTGTATGGTGTGCGTAAGTGAGACAGATTTCAGATTCTTTGAATGTTTATTCTTGAGAAAAATATTTCTGTGGTTTTGAATACTTTGCTTATAGTAATCTTTACATAAAGCTCCCAATTTTTTTAACTGATTGTTTTTATTTCGTAGGTCAGTAGAGGTAATCTGTAAAAGGTTCAAAGACCAGCTGTCACTGAGGGATGGAAAGTATGGAGGCACACCAATGCACTGGGCCAGAAGTAGGCAGGTATGATGGTTCTAGGGTTCACTTTAGTGTTGAACATGCTGCTGATTGAAACATACTGTGTTTTATTAAATTAGGACATATACACCGTAGCACATTTCATCAAATTTCAGTGAGTACATGTAAATCAGAAAGTATGAATTGTAAGCAGTACATTTATATTCAAACCAGCATTTATTATATACATGTACTATAACATATCTTGAACAAATACTGACCACCCTTGAAAATCGACTACTTAATTTAATTGTATTTGCCTTTTATAGATGACAGAGAAATTATGTAGACTGAAGGCAGACATGAATGTGAGGAGCAACACTGGTCACACCCCATTACAAGTCATGCAGGAGAAGGGCCGAGCTGACTGTCTAATGGAACTCTTATGTTGGGGAGCGGATCCAAGCATCGGAGATGATGAAGGAAACACCCCTCTACACAACGCTGTTCTTGTAGGTCTCACATGCAAATCAATTACTTGTATTGCAAATTACAGAACTTTACATCTTATATTTTCACTTATTATATAAGCAGTTTTCTGCTCATGTTTTTTTGTTTTATCGAATGGTTCAGAAATGAGTACCTTTTGGATAGAATATGAACACATTTGATGTAATAGCAGCTTTATAATGACATGGATAAAGTAAATGAAAATATGGATATATGATACATTATAGGACATTGTAAATCTGACTTTATTAACCTTATACTCTATAGAAAGATGACTATGAAATGGTGAAGAACTATGTTGTATATGGTGCTGATGTTAATGTCAAAAACAAGAAGAACCAAAGTCCTAGACATTTAGCCAGTAATTCAAATGGTAAACACAAGTAAGACAACTTTAGCTATTTTCTGTGGAGTAATTGTCATTAATAGTTATTTAAATATGTACAGTATATATTAAATGACTGAATGAGATAATAATTAAAGTGGCATACAGAAGTAAAGATTTGTGAAATGCGAATGCTAAGACATTAAAATTGTTCTTATCCTGGTTTTCACTGCATGTTTACTTATCTGTATAACAAATTGTATGGTTGTCACTAAAGAAAGAGATATATATTACTACGGGTTTAATATAAACTAGAATAATTTTAGTCTGTAAAATTAACAGAACAAGTACATTTGAATAGATAAATATACATGTATTGGAGAAATTTCTCTGCATATATGCATGTTATTATGAAATAACCCTAATCTATACTTCAGAGAGCTGATTTTGTACATGTTACATGTTTCTGGTGCTACGAGATGTGATGCCAATATGAAGAATTGTCAAAATGGGTGCTTTGTAAACGGAGTCAAAAACGGAAAACCTGATGAACACATCACTGAGCTCCTAGAGCGAGATCAGAGTGGTAAGTGGGAAGTTCCTAAAATAATGTAATGCAACAAATACATTAAAACCTGTTCTTCAATACAATTTTTACAATGACAATATCAAAGTCTTCAAGTTTACTTGACAGAAGTGAAGATTTTAAAGTTTGATAGCTATGTTTTTTCATTCTTAACTATTTGATACTCAGAAGAATTTTACACACATATTATGTCTGTAGAATTAAACTGTTATATAATCTTTTTTTTCACTTACCACTGTGAAGGCCTTTTGGATGAAATGTTGTCATCAGTGTGTGAACCACTTTCACAATTAGACGGATCAGAGCAGGATCTAGGATATAGGGTGAGATAAATCTCAGACGTTAGAGGCAGTTAAAAAATTCTGTTCTCAAGAAAAAATTATCCCGAAGTTGAAGCAACTGGATAACTGAAGGTCCACTGTATTTTTTATGTTTTCTCTATCACAGCTTTTGTCCCTAGATGGTGGGGGGATTCGAGGAATTGTCCTCTGTCTAATGCTTATTGCCATTGAGAAAGAGGTCGGGAAACCTATCAAGGATTGTTTTGATTGGATAGCAGGAACAAGTACAGGGGGACTCTTGGCTCTCGGAATCTGCACAGGTAAAGAGATTAGGCCTAAGTATCCCTGTGGCAATTTTTAGTTAATAATGGGTTTCCTTTAACAGGTTGGAAATGGATAAATATTATGGTGTGTTATACTCTCAGTTGGATATTTTTTCTTAGATTGTGTGAATGTTATATTTGATAATGAGTATACATTTGTATTATAAAGCGAAGGTAATTTCCCGTTTTAGGTAAACCTCTGTCTTATATGAGAGGACTTTATCTCCGGCTGAAGGACGAGGTATTCATTGGATCCAGACCATATCAGTCAGAGAACTTTGAAAACATGTTGAAAGAAGAATTTGGAGAGGACACTCTCATGACTGATTTTAAGAAACCAAGGTCTGAAAAAAATTAATGAAAAGGATAGCTAAGATTTTAATTCAAGCTCTCCCTGCATGGTTTCTTATTTAAAGTTTATGTTTGTACTAAATTTGTTCGAAAATGAATTTTTTAATTCTATTTTCATTTTTTCTTCAAATATGAAGATTTAATATTGACTTTTATCTTCTACTTCTTTGATGTTAGATGAAAAGAAATATGTATTCTGCATATAGGGCAGCAGTGACAGGGGTACTGGCAGACAGACACCCAACCAAACTACATTTGTTTAGGACATATGAACCCACACTGCAACCGCCGGAGGTTAGAGGTGTATGTCACAGAAAGGGAAGTAAAAAGAAGAAAAACCAGAAAGATTCTAAGGAGAAGAGAGAGTCGAGTCTGTCTTCCGAATTATACTCCCCGGCCCACCCAAGTGGTGAGTTAAATGTGTTGAAGTGAGATGAATTTTGTTGCATAATGTCTAATTTAAGAAATATCTGAACTTATTGAGTTTCCCTCAGATTACATTGTACTAAAATTATTTCATAATAAGAGTATTAAATTAACACATGTACATAAATGCCCTGCCCCTGAAAGAGTTGAAAATGCTTCAGTTCAGTAAATCAGTGTACTAGATCTGCAATTCTTCATTATACATATACAGTTACATTCGAAAACCTTTAATACTGTGTCATTTATATTACCATTTAAATCTTGTCAGGAAGTTTGAACTTCTTAGCATGACTTCTTTTTCCCTATTCAGAACAAAAAGTATGGGAGGCTGCTCGTGCCACTGGTGCAGCTCCGACCTACTTCAAGGCTTTCGGTCCGTACATTGATGGTGGTCTAGATGCCAACAACCCAACCTTAGATCTGTTGACAGAGATACATGAATACAACTGTGGATTAAAACTGAAAGTAAGGCATCAAAGTTTGTTTAAATTGTATTAGTTTTAAATTTAAATATGGTCTGGAATATCCCTTAATTGCATATTTTATGTAGATTTTTCCTGTCAAAATGCTGAGCACTGATATACAGTTTAATCTTGTTATCTCAAACTCAATGGAACCCTGAAAAACTTCAAGATATGCAAGGGATCAAAATATTAATAGTAAATAAATATGAAATTTCCAAATAACTTCAATATATCATGGTATTTGAAATATCTGTGTTTAAAATACCAAAGCTGTATTTGATGTGATATTGAAATAAGGGAATATATTGATCTTGTTTTTTTTCCCTACAAGAATGAGCCCCAAAAGGTACGTCCAATAGGTGTGGTGGTGTCTTTAGGAACGGGACAAGTACCCATTAGACCAGTGGATACTGTTGATGTTTACAGACCAGAGGGGATATTTGATGTTACTAAGATAGCTAGAGGAATCCAAAACCTGATTAATGTGATGGTAGATAAGGTGAGAATCGAGAAGACAATTGGCCTTTGTCCAGTACAAGTCACAGAATATAAGACTTTTCTTATCTTTTAGAATTGACATTGTACATCTAAGATACTGAGGCTAGAGGGACAAAACTATTTCCATAGGAATTGTACTCTGAATTTAATATTTAGTAGAATATTAAAATTTTTATAAAGCGTTTATGCATTAAACATGGCCAGAGAATATAGTGTTTGTCTTGTCCATCTGCATTGATTGAAACACCCTTGTAAAGAAGTGCAAGGAATGGATTTTTGCTTCATTAATTCCATTAAGTTTACAATATATTGAAAGTAATGGGGGGATGAAAATCACTTAAGTGTCAATTCATTATATTAAAAAGCTTGTTCATTATTTGTTTGACTGTATTTCTTATCCTGTATTTAACTGGATTTGTAAAAATCTCTTTCAATGAAAACCCAGTTTTATGCAAAAGTGTTAATGTTTTACAATTTACGGGCAGGGTAAAAGAAAATGACGACCTTAAATGACAATTTTTATTAATTTCAGGCTACGATTGCTGAGGGTCGTCCTGTAGACAGGTCCAGGGCCTGGTGTGGAATGCTGGGAGTACCATTTTACCGATTCAGTCCACCAATCACAGATGTAGAAATGGATGAACATGACAATAAGAAATTAACCCAGCTGATGTGGGAGACACAGTGTTATATAGTGGCTAATCGTGAACGCATTAAAAGACTGGCCTCCTACCTCAGAAGAGATACATAGCAAGTATACTATCCATAAGTGTTACTATAGAGTATTTTTTATTATTTATTATTTCTAGCATTATTTTAGTTTTTTTTTTTTTCAAGAGTGAGAGTAGAACACTTTGCAATTATATAGTATTTATAATTATGTGCCTTAATTGTATACCAAAAGCATAATTTTTTTCTTGTTTTTTCTTGTTTAATTTGATATGCAGAGAATAACTGACAATCGTCTGCATCGGAAGGTCTGTGATAATTGAGTGACACCTTTGAGAACTAAAAATGAGGCATGTCTGTGTTTATATTCTGATAGTGACATTAAAATTTTTCAGCTCACCTGAGCTGAAGATGAGATTTTCTGATCAATTTTTGTTCAATGTCCATGTTTGTTGTTGTTGTTGTCATAAATATTTTACAATTTTATCTGTTTCTCCAGAACCACAGAGCCAATTTAAATCAAAATTGGCACAGAGTATCCTTGGACAAAAAGGACTCCATTTTATTTTAAAGAGTGTTCAAACCATTTTCCAAGAGGAGCTAATTAAGAAAAAGTAAAAAAAAAAAAGGGGGGGGGCACATTTGAAAATATTTTTAAGAGCCATTGGTCCAGAATAAATGAAACTTATGTGAAAGCATTTTGACAAAATGTAGGGCAAGCTTGATGAACCATCAACATTTTACATATGGTATACATGTATAATGTAAAATAACAAAAATCATCACAACAACAGCAATGCTATGATTAATCATATTTTGAATATAGAAAGGATCGTCAGGTAGTGTTTAATTTTTTTTGTACATGTATTTTTAATTTTACAGATAAATGTAGAATGTTAATAAAATCTTTTGTCATTTTGACATTAAATAAACTGTTTTTGCTAAATCAAATGTTCAATGTTTATTTTTTTTCCAAAGTACAACTTTGAAGACTGCCATATTGCACCCTCTCTTCTTACTCTTTTTTGATACCTTTAAAAGAATATCATACATTGTTGAATGGTAATTTTTTTTATATATAAGGAATTTCTACAAATCGTGCCATGCAGTATTTTGTTTGTTTTATGTTAACGTTGGTACAAGCAATGTTGATAAATAAATGTTTTTAAACAGATGTTATGTTTCCACCAGTTATGAATGATAACCAAGATATTGGTACAGAAAGTGAATTCAATGTTTGACATGCATGTAATGTTATGTATCTTTCCAATATTGTTTACCAAGGTTATAAAATATCATCATTATACAGCTGTATTTGTTTTAGTGTATCATTCCAGTTTGATTCATTATATGTGAAGGTATCTGAAATAAAGATATTTGATAATGTACAACTTCTGTTATGGCATGAGATGAAAAGAATGATCAGTGACATATATATAAATCTGATAGAGAGTTCAAAAGAACTTATGTGTCATCTGCTAAAGCATCATTAAAACATAAAACAATAGTACTTATTGTTCTCCCCCAATACTGTAGATCACTAAATTTTTGCGACGCCTTATTTTTGCGATATAGTCATTCACTCTTAAACTCTTAATTAACGAGACAAAATTTTCACGAATTGTGGCTATTGTTCTATATAATCTTAAGGAATGCAATTATATGCGAGAATTAAATTTTCGCGAGCACACTGTCTCGCGAAATTATGCGAAAATAAAGTTATCGCGAATAAAAAGTGATTTACAGTACTAAAAATTTTGCAGGTATTTGAAGTAAAAAATATAAAAGGATTATAAGACTGCAAAAATTAACACATATAATAAAAGTCAAAATTGAAATTATAAATTAATTTTTTTTTTATTGAATCTATTAAAAATATATTTGTCCATGAATTATTCCCCTAATTTTATTTTTTTAAACAACTAACGGAAAAATCTAAACATCACATATGACGTTTTATGTTAATTTGAGAACATCATTGGTCTTGAGTAGTCGAGAAAGAATTTAAAGGCTTTTAAAAGTATAGAATTCAGAAGCGTTAACAAAATGAATTAAATATTTAAAATATTTCCAAAAATAAAGTGAAATACTTTGGAACTTTATTTTATTGGATATTGAGCCTTTTTTTAGAAACAAATGCATGCAACAAAAATCAATTATACTTCATAGATGTAGAGATCCTCTTTAAATCACAAAGATTCAAGTACAAATTTTCAGCAACTAACAGAACTATATCCTTCAAATGGAGAACATATTTTACTTGAAAGAGACGTTAATGGTAATATAACAATCAAGCTCTATGATAAATAATGACTTTGTTTTGCTCTTGTAAACTTCCAAAATACTTTGATGCAAAAAGCAATATACCTTCAAAATCTGCATATGTAAAAGAATTTATATATCTCAGTTTATTTGATACGCAAGAGAGTTGCTCTAAGTATGAACAATTTCTAAAAGGATGGCAGTAAATTATTGACAAACAAGTTGATGAAACAAGAATATCAGAAGCACTCTCACTGTGTAACAAAAAGTCATATAAGAGATGCAGTTCTGTATGTAATAAATGACCTTGTCAGCAAATAAATTTATCATTGAGTAAATGCTGAGTTTCATAAGACTAAGAGTTGGTATATGTACCTAAAGCGCAACAGACAAACGGGCGAACAAAAAGATGGACAGATGGAACGGGGATGCTCACTCCTCCATAGCACCTGGTCCCACCTCTGATGTTTTAGAGGTTCGTGTTTGCTCTGCTCCTACTAGTATTTCGTATTTTTTATGGACTTTTGATCTTGAATACTGTTTGTTTTTTCCAAATGTTTCATTCCATTCAAACATCGACTCAATTTACCCCTGTGAATTCAAAATAATAGGCTCCAAAGAATCAACTACATCTTTTTTTATATTTGGATGTTTTACTGACTTTAAAAATAAGAGCTAATTAAATAACTTAATTAACTTGATTACTAAAATGAACGGAATTACTTCAGCTTTTCCTATTTTGTAGTAATATCCCGTTATCGATCACCTTCGCATGGTGTTTATGTCTTTTAAACTATTTCAATACTCAGTAGTGTGTGATGAGTACGATCATTTGTTTCTAAGGTCGTTACAACAACCGTTCACTGTGTAGAATTTTGACCGACAAATTTCGTATCAATTATTAAGCTATTAATTGTTGCTCTTTACTAAATTTAATTCGACTGCGGTGTATTCCGTTTGCCAAATCAATACATAGGACTCACCAAGGGTTTAATCAGACGAAAGTGATGCATACTCCTCCTAAACGCATGTTCTCTTTTCTATAATTTCAAAGGTTCTGTTCATGGATTTATGTTGTTAGAAGTCTTTACTCTTACATTACATGCCTTGTTATAGAGACATTTATAGTGGACTAATGCTCAAGGACAGTTTTTTGTTCCCCATAATGTTTTGAAATTGCGGACGTTAGAGAGCACAATAAGTCCAAACAAAACATAGCTTTATACGCTTAAAAAATGAGAGGATATGATAGTGGTCGGGATGTCTGTCAGTAAGTCTGTACGTCCGTCGTTCCATCTGTCCATCTTTTTGTTCGCCCGTTTGTCTGTTGCGCTTTGAGGTACATATACCAATCTCTTATCTCTTATCCGCAACTCCTCTTATACCACTGAATCAAATTTACTGAGACTTTCACAGATTTATTACATAGTGTCATTGTGCATCTCTTATATTACTTTTTGTTACATAGTGTCATGGTGCTTCTCAAATATTACTTTTTGAACCGACACATTGATTGGGTTTTTCATTGCAAAACATGGACACTGCCATTCTTTCTATAATATTGAAGGGCACCCATCTCTTAACCGCAACTCCTCCTATACCACTTAATAAAATTCAATGATACTTTCACAAATTCTTTTACATTATGCAATTTTGCACCTCCTATATTTTACTTTTTGATCAAACACTCATTTTGGGTCTCCAAGAGCAAAACACAAGACTCTGTCAAATATGAAACAGATGTGTCAGACTCTGTGGTATCTTTTATCTCAAGCTCACCAGGATATATCATATCGACATGGAAATTACCATTGTTAATTGACAATTACGTCGTCAATAGATCGAAACGTCGAGTAGAAGGCCACAACAAGTGTTTTCTTCTTTTCATGCATGAGATTTTGCACAAATCCTGCCAAAAGGTGGTAAATTGTTGACAAACAACGCCATGGGAATTCCAATAGATTATTGAAAGACCTCACACAGGTCTTCAAAACAACGTAGATATATTGTCAATCAGAAATTCAAGCATCTTTTTTGATGGTCACCTTGGAGTACTTGTGTGTACAATCAGAATGCAAAATAATTTTGAAAATGACCAATGACAAGGTAAGTAAATTTACGAGTTCCATTTTTATTGAAAAGGTAGATGTCAATGATATCAAAAAGCCTGGACTTTAATTTATCGTGGGGAATGGTTGTGTATAAAGTTGAAAAAGTGGTATGTTTTTAAGCTGTTGATTTTGGTAAAATCTTGTGATTTCAAATTGTCCAAAAATTCCTTGGAATTTTTAAGTATCCGCATCTGATTTACACCACATCTTGAATATATTGTTGCAGAGTACAGTACTCTTGAAGTTTCTCCTTCACTACTGTTAATATCTTTGTGAGGAGTAAAGAAAGAGGCTTGGTTGAACATTTACTGGAACCCGCTATGTATCTTTGTTTGCAAGGATTCTTATGAAGTTTCAGAATCCAACATATATATGGTAGCTCAAATTCATTTTGGTTCTTTGGGATATTAAAGAAATTCAAAACTGACATACAGTTTTGAAGAATTTCTTCTTTAGAAAGGGAAGTATGAGTATAGGTTGGATTACCCACTTTTAGAATTAAATCCAAGTTCTTCTAAAATACAATTAATTGTATATATTGAGCCCTACAAACGAATACAATGTTGTTACCTGCTTTGTCAGCAGGAACTAGTACGTACTGATCATGTAATCTCTCTTATTCTTTTTTACTTCTCGATTATTAAATACAGACGGATAGATGGTTTCCATAATGTCCCTCAATATGGAATGTGGAGTAACATTTTTTAATTGAATTGAGTTAAAGACCACAGCAAGTGTTTTCCTTTTTTCGTGTACTTAACAAATTATCGTGAAAAGTCTGCATTACATGTATAGAAATACAAAAAACGTTCAACTTAGAAAGGAAAAATTACATGTAAATGCACATTGGAAATTCAACGCGTGGAAAACATAAATTAGTAACTTTGACTTACAGTAGCTTTCTATTGCACATGTAGTAAAACATATTTTGACTATGTGTTTCCTCAACACTAGCAAGCCCTGGGTAACCCTGACTGTATACATGACCATTTTTGTTCCAATTGTTTGGCGGGAAGACACAAAACGTCATTCAGGATTTTCCTCCAAAGGAATCACGACTGATGACTAGTATTTTTTTTTCGGTAAACGGCAAATGATTTTTAAACATAGTTATTCATAAAATGTTCTACAGAGAAATTATGTTGTAATTTCCAAAATCATTAGTAATTTTTCAAGTATTTTATTTGATATTGTTATGATGGGTTGGGTTGCTTTTATTTTAGCAGATTCAATTTATGCACAGTTACATGTACTAAAAAGGGTCCTTTTTCGAGTGAACAAACAAAGCAGAAGGCATTTAACTGACAAGAGGTAAATTACATTATCTACAATGATGAACAATTAATAGAGGAAAAAAGGTAAGATCCTACACTTACTGATAGCTTGTATAATAATTATAATGGGGTTTAATAATATTAGTTGAATAATTTAGATAACGAACAATATTCGAGTTCAAATGTCCTTTCAAATACTAAAGACCAAGAGCACAGTAAACATGGATCTTTAAAACAGTAGAGGTGGGGTCAGGTGGAATTGAGGAGTGAACCTCCCCTGCCGACCGGTTTCACTCGCAGTTTCCTCCTTGTCCCGATTGAGAAAACAGAAAAACCGTAGAATTCAATGGATATCAATTGGTATAAATACTAGTCTAAAAATAAGATTGAGTAAGTCAGTTAGCATTTGACTTATTGATGGATTGTATTTGGTGACAAGGTCATCGTATCGAGCATGGAATTTAAGAAATGACGACTTTAAACGAGACTGTTGATAGTCCTCTTTCGCCAACTTGTTTGTAAATAGCTTGTCATATTTAGAACGTAGAGCATGCTCTTGCGTATCAAATTTTCTGAGATATAAACCCAGTATACAGGTGATAAAGGCATATTGCTACATTGTTTGACAAGGTACATGTACATTCAACTTCATTGATTTTTATTGTATAGAATGTATTCTAACTACTACTTGTATTTTTATTAATTTCTTCTGCATGAATGTTGCTTATCTTGAACACCTTTTAAAATTGATAAGTTTGATTGCATTTATACTCAAATGATGCGGTTTTTAAAGTTAACTTTTGCTATCTAACAGATATATTAATTATTAAAACTAATTTTAATTGCAAGATGTGAAAAAAAAAATTGGGAATAACAAGCAAAAAAATTCAATCAGTTCTTGTCTGAGGTTTAAAATATAAAGCAACCACTGAAATGATGCAACTTAAGACGGTTACTTATAGATATTTCTTTGAATTAAAGTATTATTCACAATTTAATCAGTAAAATTAATTTGTTTGGAATTAAATACATGTGCACAAATATGAGTATATATTAGTATGAGGTGAAGAGGAAGATAACGATTAGTTCTAGAGTTGGATCAGATGCCAAGGAGGAGCAAGCATCCCCTGTTTAAGACAGAAAAGCTGACGTCATTTCGTTTGTTATACAATTTAGTTGTGAGTTGGCCTTTGTCGTCCACAGTCAGTAAAACATTCAAATATGAAACAGATGTGGCAGACTCTGAAGTATCTTATTTTAAGTTCACAGGGAAATATAGAATGGAAATAACTATTGTTAATTGATAAAATATCGTCGATTTATTTGAATGTCGAATTGAAGACCATGAAAAGTTTTTTTTCTTCTCTTGTAGTACTGTTTTCAAAAAATTCTGCTTAAATAAACAGGTAGGCTTATAATCTTAGATGTTTTCAATTAAAATGATAGTCATGTTGTTATTAGTGTTATATTTTATGTGTATATTAACAAAATTAAGTGAAATAACCATGCCTGCCTAAAAAATAAATAAAAAAAATGTCCATGATTCATTGCAGAAAGCTCTTTGTAAATATTTTTTTAATTAGAAAGCTGAAACAAATAAACAGCCATAACCTTCAAATACTGTACACTAGATACTAAAGAATTAAAAAAAACCCAGAAGAAACATATTACATGAAAACAAAACATAAGGTTAAATTAACATAAAAAATTATCTCTTACTCAATATACAAAACAGTTCCAGAATGAACTACATTGTGTATATTTGTATATTTTTAACATAAATACATGTACAATGTAAGTTTTAAGTTTAAGTTTTATTAACCAGTTTTAATCTTTTAAACAAAATACATTACGATCAATAGAAAAAGACGAAAGTAACACCACTTAAGGTATTTAACAAAATACAATGTATGAACATAACTAAACCCGCCATATTTTAAACAGAATGATATATAGTTAAAACTACTATAAGGTCAACAGAATAAAAATGTAAAACCACTGAAGATAAAACAGAATAAAGACATATCTAAAACTGCAGCATCAGATAGAATAAAGAGATAACTTAAACTACTATATATAACACAGAACAAAGACATTACTGGTATCAAACTTTTTAATGTATCAACAGAATAAAGACATAGCTTATGAAAGTTTGAATAGAGAAAAGACATAACATAACTTATCAATGTTTAAACAGAAAAAGACAAGAGTAACAAAAAAAGACCTAGCTAAAACTGCTGAATTAGAAAGAATAACACTAAACCACGTAAGTTTAAACAGAGTAAAGATCTACACAAAAGATTAAAAAGATTTTTAAGGTCATTATATAAACACTAAAAAATAATTAAAAAAATTATAGACAAAAAAGCAACAATTAATTAAGGGATTTACAGAATAAAGACATATAACTAAAGATTTTACAGAATAAAATATATCAAACTCAAATTATAGTCAAAAATACCGAATTAAACATAATAAAAACATATTAAGTAGATAAAACAACAAAAGATTTTTTTTTTAAATGAATCCACATCTAAAATTACTTTCAAGACTGAATGCTTAAAATGGGCGTCTGAGAATATTTGTATTTATTCTGACAGTAAATATCAACTCTTTTATCATGTTTATTTAATTTTATTGAATTAATAATTTAAAAAAAGATATGAACGCATTAACTTTTCTCTGATTTTAATAATAATTATTATCAGATTTCAATAAAAATAATATATCCAGTAACCATGCAGAAACTCAGTATATAGCGTAGGTATGTCTGTTTGACAAATAAATGCAGGAGACATCATAATTGCATAACTTCACATTTCATTTATAGGCAAGACCTGTATATATAACTATTCATACAATCTGGAGACTATTCTTCTAATAGTAGTTTGTATAGCCCGTATCATGTATGTCAATGTACCTGTCGACAAACAGCGTGGTGTCTGGTGGAATAACGACTAAATGAGCTTTTCTTTACTGGAGAGTTCCATAATATCAGTCTGAATTATCTCAGATTATTACAATACTGAACGATGTAATGTTACCTCAACTGTGACTACAAGGTGATCTGTATTCTTGAGCATATGTGTACATATAAAACATGTGCACACACAGTGACATTAGGATTGTATGATCACCGATCCATCATGGTGGCAGGTAGATGTATTTGGGATAGAAGTATTCTTGGAAAATCTTTTATAAGACGATAACATTGAAATAGATTAGGAACATCATGCATAAAGTTTCCTCTTTTGCAAGGATCACTGGACAAATTGGAAAGTTTACTTTAAGGTACGTACGTTTAAATGATCAAGAGTGGATCGCGCCTTTTTATCGTGTTCTTAAGTTTTATGCCAATTAATGAGACTGAATGCTTGTGGCAAAATTTTATCTGATGTACTACAAATACCAAATCTAACGAAAAGATATCAAGGAGACAAACAGAACTACAGATAGTGGGAGAGAGCGTTTGCAGTTATCGGTTAAATCATAAATGAATATTTATATATTATTATATATTATATTATTATATAAAATATGATATGAGTAGTGGGACAACAATGACATTGTGCCTTTTTTAAATGTTTTCATCGTTTTGCGTTAGGTTACCAATCAAATACGAAAGTGGACATGCAGCTTTGTTTCAAAGGCTGGATTCTCTGGAATGTATAGCTTACAATAATGTGATATATAAAGGCTTCAGGTAAGTAGAATCTTAAGTGAAAGTTTGCAGTAGTGTTGGTGAATTAAATTTTTCTTTCAGCATGTTCAAGGTGATGGAATTTTTATGACATGAAGCTATTTTTTCTTCATACACCTGTTCCTGATCAATTGACGTATGTTTGTTATAGACTAGAATCTTAATCATTTTCATATGATATGAGGATGCTGCTATTAAGCCAACATCATTTAAATAAAGCATCATTTACAAAAACAAAAGCTTTTATTCCAGTTACTTTGAGTTATAATAATATCAAGCGATGATCAAAGTTTTGCACTTTGTTGATAATAAATTTTATAATGTTTACCAGTGATTTATAATATTAATAATAATTTATTTTTTAAGCATTTCAATATCAAAGATCATATTACGAGGAAATGAAATTTAAATATATTTTTTATTTGATTTTCTTTTAATTCAATAATTATAAGTAAACGATGCTAACATTGATACTATCGAACATTTCAAAATTAATAAATGGGTGAGGTTTTTGTTTCATTAAATATATACAATTTTTCATCATAAATAAACATGTCAGTTGCTCATTATATTTAAATGTTCTAGATATGAAGCATTCTTCAACAAAAAGAGCAAGCCAGCAAAGCTCTTTTTCTAGGTTTGATTGTTGAGGACTTCTTTTAAACGAGCACAATTCAACGTGAAAACTTTATATTTGTGACACATAAACATATTATCAAATCAAATCTTTTTTTTTCCAAGGATCTATGATTTTTCACTTTATGCATTTAAAGTTGCAAAAACCTTTTATAAATGTAATTTAAACCCCTGTAAATTCAAGTGAAAATATGTCTTTAATGAAGATTACGAGGGAATATTACTGAAAATCGGTAAATATAAGCGAAATTTGGTCTACATTTACAAAATTATCTATAAGAAAATATCTTATTACTAAGATTAATTTTCATTTGATTTGATTAGTTTTATTTTTAAATTTCGTCCAATCTAAAAATTAAGTAAGATGTAAAACAGAATCTTTTTTTTCTACAGTATCCTTCGTTGGTCTTATGACAAGGACCCAAAAGAACCAGACCCTGGGTGTAATGACGTTAACCTTCCAGAGAGATCAGATGACAATGTTAACAAAACAACATGGAGCTGGAGCCCGGCTCACGCGGCAGCATTTCTGGGTTTATACGAGTGCTTCCACAATAAAAAGTTCAAAAAGTAGGTTCTATCATTAAAAAGTATCTTAAAACACTTGAAACTTCTATTTGTATTGCGTTATTACTAAATTTTAACTCAGGATTTTTAATAGGATTATTTTTTAAATATTCTTTCAGGGATATTAACTATCAAATGATGAATACTCAGTTATCTCCATTAATGGCAGCTGTGTTAGGGAAACACACGCAGTGTGTGTCTGTTTTATTGGAGAATGGAGCAAGATTTGATCTTCCGGACCAAAATGGAGAAACTGTTTACCATTATGCTGTGTCTCATCACCCGGAAGTCATTCCTGTTTGTATACAAAATCATTTAATAAATACAGTAGAACTTCGGTATTTATAAGACCAATATCTCGAATACCTACTTATACCAGTGGTTTGGAAATCCCAACTACCTATACTTTTTAAAAGTATTTAAACCTCGATTTCTCGAATACACGGATATTTCAAAATTTATCCTCCGTCCAATCTTAATTGAAATAACGAGGTTTGAGTGTGAGTGATTTGATGTAAATCTGTCAATACCCTTTTTTCCCCTAATTTATGTTGTACAACATTTAACTTATTGAATTTATCCTGATCCAATGTCCATTTTTCAATTGAAAGCTAGAAGTATGTTGTCATAAAAATATTTCGAAGATAATGTTTTATTTTTGTTTAGGAGACTATAAAGAAATGTCTGATTTTGGTTCCATTTCCTGCAATGCATTTAATCCATTATCAAATCCTTGATAATAATAGTTTTATATTTGGTGTATTTTTTGTTAACGAAATCTATTATATATTTAAGTTTTGTGCATGAAAAAGTAAAAATAAGAGACGGTGATCAATCTTAAAAAAAAACTATTATTTACAAACAATATAAATCTGTGGGAGGGGCATAAAACGCACCTCCTTAAAAATTCTAGAGGTTGGATAAGGTAACTAAGAGTAGCTAGTATCCCATCTCGATTGAACACACTAGCCGTGAGCCTAAAAAATTGAAAAGGTGGACATAATAATTAGTTGTCATTTAATATTAAATCAAATCATGTCAATCAAAATAGAACCCATTTTCAGCCCTATAGGTTGACGAATATTTAAAATATTAAAGAATATTATCAATAAAATTCAAATACAAATTGATGGACATTAATGATTAATATGAAAGATGAAACTAAATTAGAAAGTTAGTGGTTAACACTTACCTGGACTTTGATGTATGTATAAAGACTATAAACACATTTTCTATTTCAGATTTTAGCTAAGCATGATGATCCCAAAGGTAGTGACAGAGTTATAAATTACCTGAACAAAAACGGTCTAACGGCTCTAGCCACTGCATGTGAAAAGGGGAAGCCCGAGATTGTTCAACTATTGCTGGATGAAGATGCCGATCCAAACATCACCGGTCAGGATATGTATCCTATTCACCATGCTGTAAAAAATGGTGACACAAGGTTAGATTTCGATGGAAAAAGTTATAAATAACCTTGCCCTGTCTTAGGTTCCAATGTGATTTACGTTCATCTATTTGGATAGATTTAATTAAGAAAATAAGAACCCAAACAAGCCACAAAGTTCTTCAAAAGAAACGTCCGAGTTGCTGCATATCAACTTTACTGTTATTTGGGTGAATGAAAATATACTTTAAAATAATAACTAAGAAAAAATATTTTATGTCCGTAGGTCAGTTGATGTAATTTGTAAAAAGTTCAAAGACCAATTGTCAAAACGAGATAAAAAGTTTGGAGGTACTCCATTACACTGGGCAAGGGACAGAAAGGTATGGAAAACACGTACACACGAAACAATATTGAGATATTCATTAATTTTGTTAACGTGTTTTTTTTTCTTATTAAATGCTCAAACATTTACTTACCAGAGTATATGAAGAATAACTGTCTTTTCAGGGTATTTGTGTTTTACCATATCTTGAGAATATTTATCTTTATACATCTCTGTAACATTATTTAAAATGTAATACAGTATTAATAAAGATAAAAAAAAAGTATACGAATTTTTACTCTTTTTAAAAAAAATATTGATTTTATCTTCTTTTTTTTTAATTCTTTGGCAATTTTTTACGAAAAAAAAATAATGAAAAGGGTTTTGGAAAGAATTTATCTATTATTATATATATTATTTAAAGACATAACCAACGTGTAGTGAAAGAAAAAAAGTTTCTACTTTTTCAATAAACATGAATTCATAACATTCCACTTTCAACTTCATATTATATAAATATTGCATGTAGTTGAGTGTAACATTGAACATTTTCACCCCTCGAAAACCATTGTCAACCTCGGCTGCGCCTCGGTTGACAATGGTTTTTAGAGGGGTGAAAATGTTCAATGTTACACTCAACTACATGCAATATTTATTATATTATACTGAATGTTTTATACAAATACATATAACAGTGAACCGTGCGCGCATAAATTCTGCGCAGTCACTATTTTTTGGAATATCACCCGTCGTCAAGCACTGTTGACTGTTGCTACGCTGGAGGGCGTGGCTTCATTATTCAGGGGGTAATAGTGTTTTTTAACAAATGTTTCTCAACCAATCAGATTCAATTAATTTACATGAAAGTATAATATTGTGTTTTGTTATCCTTGTAACTTATTCGATACACAAGACATGCTCTGAGTACAATTTTCTTACACCGATATCTGCGACTAAAACAAATTCAGGTTACATGGAATTTCAATGTCAGCATTTCGTAAATTCTATGATCATTTTAATGACCATATCAGTAAATATATGTACAATCTATTATAAGGTCGTATTATGACTGACAATTTCCTTCGCAAAAACATCAATAATTCCATCTTCCTCATCAATTGTTTGGATCATTGCAAGTGCGACGGTCTAAGGGATCTGTTACACTTCTCAGGCAACTGATTTAGTGTTTGGCGCCCCTTTTACAGTTTTGTATCTCTTTGTATTGTTTATATGCTTTTTGAGATAGAGCTCTGTTCGTTATCTTCACGTCCATCACAACTCTACTTTTTCTTGTCAACTGCAGAAATTAAATGGTAGGATATTTTTCACATTATTCATAGCCAAGATTTTACTCTTAAATATGCACAGATGATTGAGAAGTTTGGTCGTCTAAAAGCTGACATGAATATAAAGAGCAACACGGGTCACACCCCGCTACATATCATGCAGAGGAAAGACAGAACGGATTGTCTTATAGAGCTATTGTGTTGGGGAGCGGATCCAAGTATAGGGGACGATGAAGGCAATACTCCAGTGCACATTGCTGTACTTGTAGGTTACAGATCAATAGATTAGATATAGGCATAAAAAATATAAATAATGATATACATAAAATCTATTGAAATAAACACTTTTCAGAACAGTGTACATGTATTATTTTATTATTTTTATTATTTTATTTATTATATTTTTACGTGATTATTATCAAAACATCTTTTAAAAATGTTGATGTGGAATATCTCTTGAAGTTACATACCAGTATCTATAAGACCTCTGTAAATCTTTCCTTTTTAATTGTATGCTAGAAAGATGATCTAGAGATGGTGAAAACCTTTGCAGTTTGTGGTGCTGAAGTAAATGTCAAAAACAAGAAAAACCAGAGTCCTAGACATATAGCCAGTACCTTAGATAGTAAAAACAAGTAAAGTTGATCTTTCATTACAATAATTTCTTAATCAAAGGCACCCTTTTCGCTGTTCACATACTTGTTTCTTATAACTGCTAACTGTGATAAGTATATCCAAGTCAATTTAGATAAGCATGAAATTTAATTCCCAAAAATACATATTGTAAAAAAAATAAAAGGGAAAAAAGATTATCTTACAAAGATTTGTTTTTTTGTTTTTTTTTTTTTGAGAAATGAATAACATTTTCTTTAAAAAAAAAGTACAGAAACAATTTCATGCAGAGTTTGAAATGACAATTTTCTCAGTTTTCTAATTTGTATTTCAGAGATCTAATTTTGTATGTATTACATACATCGGGTGCCGTGAGATGTGATGAGAACATGGAAAACTGTGAAGATGGGTGTTCCAAGTCAGGAGAGAAAAATGGGAAAGTTGACGGAGACATAATTAAACTTTTACGGAGTGACCAAAGTGGTGAGTATCTCCATATCTTTATTATACATTATAAATTAAAACAAAATAGTCCAACACTTCTCTAACGTCAAAAAGTTTTCTGAAAAAAATTAATATAGATTTATATCATACACATGTACCTCTGGTGTTGCCCTTGATTTTGGTATCACAGGTACAAGTCATGCTCTGGACGCTTTAATAATAAATACTTATGATAAATTTTAAATTGATGAAAAATCAAGATAATCATCAATAATATAGCTGAAAATTTCAATGAAACAATACGAAATATGATCAGAATACACATGGACCTTTTAAAACAACAGAGGCATTGCCATGGAAGAGAAAACTTTAACTATAACTATTGATCGGTTACACTGGCTGTTTGATTGCTGTTATATTTGGGTAAAATGAAAAAAAATGGTACTGAAAATAATGGTCTAAAATTTGGTATAAAAAGTATCAATCAACATTTGATTTAACGAGGATCAAAGGGCGGGTGTAACAGATCGACAGGGAATAGACATTCTTTCAGGGTACCTGATCCCATGCAATTTTGATCGGCGCAATTTTTTTTTATTGTTTTAATATTCTTTTGAAATAGATTACTGTACGTCATCTGCATATTTCATTACTGATCTATAATCTTCGATACTTGTGCCTGGATCCTATTTGCTTGTGAAAAATATTTGATACTTCGATTTATTATAAAAGTGAATTTATATGTAAAATGTAGATTTTTATTTACTTTTGTATTAAACTTTGATTGTTTGTTAAAAGGCCTCTTCTTTAATATTTAGAAGATTAAACGTTTCAAAGAATTTTATCTGAAATTAATGTTTTACCTTATCTTTTTTAAGGCCCATTGGATGAAATGTTTGCATCGGTATTTGATCCATTGGCACAGATAGATGGATCGGAGGAAGACTCGGGATACAGGGTAAGATCCTATATTGGTGGTATTTGAAGTTGATGAAACAAGAATATCAACAGTCTCGTTTAAAGCTATCATTTCGCATTTTCTATGATCAATTCAATGACCTAGTCAGCAATTAAAATATGTCATTAAGTTAAATTCTGACTGACGTTTTTATTTTAATTGCTAGATATTTACTGAATTGTCTATGGTTTTTTTTGTGTTATTTCCCAATCATGGCAAGGAGCAAACAGCAGGTGTGACCGGTCGGCAAAGGATGTTAACTCCTCCATAGCACTTGATCCCACCTTTGATATTTTTAGAGGTCCTTGTTTGCTCTGCTTCTGGCTGTATTGTTTAAATGGACGTTGATCTTGAATTCTTGTCTTTATCTCCAATAAAACATATGGAGATAACAAACAATATTCGAGATCAAAAGTCCATAAAACAATATAAAATAGGAGCAGAGCAAACACGAATCTTCAAAACATCAGAGGTTGGATCAGGTGCCAAGGAGGAGTGAGCATCCCTTGCCGACCGGTCACAGCCGCCGTGTGCTCCTTATTATGATTGGGAAATAACGGAAAAATCCGTCGTCAATTCAGTGTATAAATGATAGACTAACAATTAGTATGAAAATAGCCAGTCAGCTTTTGACCCATTGATAAACTGTATTGCTGACAAGATCATTGTATCAACCATAGAACAAACGAAATTATATATTTAATCTTAAAAATTAGCTTGTGGAAGGAACTCTGTTGGGAGCAGCTCAAACGTATGAGCAATAAAAATACACAATATTTTTGAAAATTATCACAGATTCTGTCCCTGGATGGCGGAGGAATTCGAGGACTTGTTCAGTGTCTGATGTTAATTGCCATTGAGAAAGAGGTCGGGAAACCCATCACAGAATGCTTTGATTGGATAGCTGGAACAAGCACAGGTGGACTTTTAACTCTGGGAATCTGCACAGGTGAGTTTTTGTAATAGGACTACTGGGAATTCTCGAGGTAGGGACCGTGCCAAGGAGGAGTAAGCATCCCTAAATCTTCTTTATGCTCAATTTCTTTTGCATGTTTAGGTAAACCTCTGCCTTACATGAGAGGTCTGTATATCAGATTGAAGGACGAGGTGTTCACTGGAACAAGGCCGTATGAATCGGAGAACTTTGAGGCCCTGTTGAAAGAAGAATTCGGAGAGGAGACTGTTATGACAAATTTTAAGAAACCAAGGTTTGGGGATCTTTTTCAAAAAAGACACTCCAATATTATATTTTTTACAAGAGTTCTTCATGACATTTAATAGGATTTCAATTTTTTAGCAGATCTAATAGATTTTCTGTTTTTAATTCTTAATAAAACATTTGTTGTGTATCTTTATTATATGCTATATTATATTATATTCCATTCTAACACCCTCTCCAGATTACATTGTAAGCTTGTTTCCATATACCTCCTTAATAGCAAAAAGCTTAAAACCGCACTGAATGCGTGATTTGTATTTCTAGGGCTGTGGTAGCAGCTGTGCTTGCAGACAGACACCCAACAAAATTACATTTGTTTAGAACATATGAACCAACATTTTTGCAGCTGTACGATTCTAAAAGTGGAAGTCAATGTAATGTCAGCACACAAAAGAATGATGACGCAGGTTTAGAGGAAGGAAATGAAGAAATATATTACCCAGCTAAACCCGGTGGTTAGTTTTGATTTTGGAAAAGTTCTATGTGAAACGTGAGATAAATAGTTGGTGTTGACTAAGTTTAATTATTGCATTATGCTTATTTTCTCCTGCATTTAAAAATTCAGTGCCCAACTATTTTTCATAATTTATTAAGGATTTATTTAGTTTGCCAAATATTGTTTGTGGAGAAATTATGCTGCCGTGATGAGCTTCAAACTCCCATTGATTTCACTTATTATTTTGAAAATAATGTTTTTCATCATTCTTGATATATGAAATTAAAAGCACACAACTCTTTGGGGAGTTTTTAAAAATTATTTTTACAAAGTCAGCATTTTGTTTACACAAATTGTGTGTTTTCTGGCTTTAGCAAAATAATTGTGAAAGCATAGTCAATGGACATATAGATTGTGTATTGATCAATACTAATAACAAAAATCAGTTTTAAAAATGACTAAAGAAGGTCATATATGAAGCACTTCTAGATGAATCTAGTTTTATTGTCAAATTGATCACAAAATGTTTTTCACAGACTTATATATATTGGTGCTGGTAAAAATTAAATCATCAGGTCAGCAATTTTCTGTATCATAATCACTACCTTGTTGCTTTAAATGTTACTGTCTCGTTTTGTCTTGTTATTCAGAACAAAAAGTATGGGAGGCTGCTCGTGCCACAGGAGCAGCTCCGACCTACTTTAAGGCTTTTGGGCCATACATTGATGGCGGACTGGAAGCCAATAATCCTTCTTTGGATCTGTTGTCGGAAATACACGAATATAACTGTGGATTAAAAATAAATGTGAGAGAGATATTAAATATCATCTTTTACTTAATTCAAGCATTGTATTGTACGTTTTTACTCTTTTATATAGTAACTGTAAGATGTTTCCTTACATTTTACATCTATTTGACAACCTATACATTTTATGCAATTATTACCGGGTACATGTAATGTATTTTCCATTATCACTTTCAATAGTTTGATACATGTGAAGTCTCGTGACAATGTATTAATGTCAAATAATTGTATGTTATGCAGTGATGAAAAATTGAAATATATTCAGTCGCCATTCAAGACAATTTGTCAAAAAATATTAACATTGATTTCAAAAAATATTAACATATTAGAATTATAATTGCAATATTAACATATTGACATAGTACAGGGGTTGTCACAGGCCTAAATTGGTATAATCTAGATACCTAATTTGCTTTGATAGAACAAGTCAGAGTTGGTTCGTCCGATTGGTGTGATGGTGTCCCTTGGAACGGGACAGGTACCAGTTCATCGAATCGACACTATTGATGTCTACAAACCAGAGGGAATTTTTGATGTTACAAAGATAGCGCATGGAATCCAAAACCTGATAAATGTGATGGTAGATAAGGTGAGGTAAAATATAGCACAATTGAATAATTACTTACAAGTATTTTTAAGAGAGTGATCAGTAAGTGTTAAATATTAGGTGTTTTACATTTATACAAGATAATGATAAAGAATGAAAAGAATAACTACCTGTTATAAAGAAAAAAAGTGGACATGGCATGAAACACAGACCCCAGAAATTTCAGAGGTTAGACCAGATACCTAGGAGGAGTACGTTTCCCCTTTCGACCGGTCACACCTGCCATGATCCCTGAGTATTGATCAAGTTAATGAAATATTCCTACAAATCATATTTACATTGTAGTATGGCACCTAATCCCACCTCATGCTCACTTATCCATGGCACCTGATCCCATCTGTGATTTTTGGAGGTCTGCTCCTATTTTGTATTGTTTTATGAACTTTTATTAAGGTCTTCCGTCTTAACGGAAGACCTTATAGTTATTGTACTGTTTCTTATTATTATTATTATTATTATTTTTCTGACACGATTTCTCGACAACTACTGGATAGAATTACATGAAATTTTCAGGAAAGATGTGTTGTAAGATACTCTTGAAAGGACAGTTTTTGGAAATTGGACTTTAATTATTAGGTATAATATTTTAATTTCCTCTCTGGTGCCAAGTTTTGGACCATTTTCCTGATTTTAAAACGACATTTTGTCCACGATTAAACTCAAAAACGGTAAAAGATATCAATGTGAAACTTTCAGAGTTTATAGATGATGATCAATACTTTCCAGGACGCGACTTTTCGTTCGTCGTCAGTACTTCCTGTCGCTACCGGAAGCCAATTCAAAAAATCCAATTTTTCAACTTTCTTTGTTTTTCAATACTTTTCATTTATTTTTGGAAATTTAATAGAGATCCTTCTATTAATGCTTACTATATAAGTTGTTTTGATATTGGTTAATCTGAACTCTAGATATTAATATTTGAAAATCTGAAGCGGGCCCAAGATGGCGGCTGTCTCTGTCAACTCCGCCATTTCGCGAGTAGGGGCTTATGGAGGCAGCTGAGCGTTTGATTAAACCATTCTGACATAAGGTACATGAAATGTAAAAAAACTACTTGGACTCTCACGTAGTAGTACGTTGCAATTTAGTGTCAATCCTAAAACTTAATTTCCGTTTCACTGCTTTAGTGTTACTGGGCTAGATACGATATGTAATAATGTGTACAATGTGTTAAATATACTTTCCTAACGTCGAAATAAAACAAATGTGATAAGAACGTTTTATTTAATTAATTTCACTGAAGCTATTGCACCTATTCAATAGATCAGTACAAAGAAAAGGCGCGAATATTTACGCGTGGCGTTTGACACGAAATTATGAATAGTGAGCCGCCTTTTATGATTCTTAAACAGGTGTACTGTTGCAAAAGTATACACAAGTATATTTAAAGCAGTATTCCCAATAGCTAAATGGTTTGCGCGTTGGGGAGAAAAGAGAAAAAAGGCGCATTCACGTTGGCGACCTGGATTCAATCCTCCTTGTGAACAAAATTTTGAATAACATTTCAGCTCGATTTCACAAGGGTTTTTTTTTCCTGAATCGGACGGAAGACCTCTCGTTGCTCGCAACGAGATCGTATCTAGTATTGAATACTGTTCGTTTTCTCCATATCCTTCATGCAGTGTCTGTAACAGGTCAAAAATTACTTATGCATCTATTCAAGGATTTTTATATAAAATTCAATAATAGGATTTAATGGTTAAAATAAAACAATTTCTTTCAACTTTCCAATCACTAAAAACATTCTTTGGAGGTCCTTCATTATTACTTTAAAAAACTCTCAAAAACAAAAATACAAAATACACCTAACGATATTTAACGAGTTCGAGCTCCAGTATTCAGGGATAAATATTTCCATTTCTTAATGTTTATAAGTGCGGGTACATCTACATGTCTAAATTTGCAGCCATTTACTTATAATCAATGGCGTCCAAATTAAGTGAACAATATTCTCAAGGGGACGTGAAGTAAACAAACAAGACACTTCGACTAAGTGATTGTTTGACAAAATAACCTATTGTTTTACATTTAGATATTCATATTTTCCTAAAATCATCGGATCAATTTCAAATTTAATACATACTAACTTGACTCCTACAATAATTCAAGCCATGACACGAATATGAAAGAAATATATTCGCACATTAAGAAATATTGTTCATGAAAAGTTTATTTGATGATAAACTGGGAAGGTGTTATAAATTTTCGATTCTATTGCAGGCCACAATTGCCGAGGGTCGCCCTGTTGACAGAGCCAGGGCGTGGTGTGGAACACTTGGAGTACCATTCTATAGATTCAGTCCCCCAATAACAGAGGTAGAAATGGATGAACACGACAATAAGAAACTCATTCAATTGATGTGGGAGACACAGTGCTACATTGTGGCTAATCAGGAGCGAATTAAGAAACTGGCGTCTTTTCTAAGACGAAATACATAGGAAATATTTTGATTTTTTTTCACAAGTAAGAAAATTCAAGCAAATTGTGATATTATGAACGTTTTCTTGCGTATTAAAAGGTTTAACATTATGCATGGGTAGATTTTGCATAATAATGTGATAAACTTATAAGATTCTATGTTTGTGCCATAGACCATTTTCGCCTTATACCAACGCATATTTTTTTTCGTGTAATAAAAGCTTGATAAAAGCTTAAGCGGAGATTTTATTCATTAGTATTTCTTTTATATTTTGAGTATTATTATTTTTTCATTAATATTTACATTGAAAATGCATATTTTATAACGAAAAATACATCAAAACCAATCTTAAACTAGATCGCGATGTTACGAGTATTGTCTTAATTATGTGAATTGTTTATGCTACAGAAGTTCATCAAGATGAGCTCCTGTGATATATGAACCTTGCTGGAAAACGGTTTGAAACCTGCTTTCAAGAATATATTGCCTGGATCAATTTCTGTAAAGCTTTCTCATTGTGTATACAAAGTCAGAGCTTATAAAAGAGCTTCATGTTTTTAACTTTTTTTCACAATTATTTATTTTGCCTTAAAAGCAATTAATACACATGACAGTGAAGTATTTCCTTCCAAATAAAATTTATAGAGCAAACTTTATCCTGAATCACAAATCATATAATAATGCAATAAAGTATCATTAATATTTGGCCTATATTGCGGATTTTAATTTATCTCGTGCGACGTGTGGATGATACTTCCCGGGAGATATATATACATATGCTTTATCCACGGGTAGATGCTCTATCAATGGCACTTCCAGAAAATTTTGACACGATCCCCCTTACTACTTTCATTCAGTAGTTAGTTCGAAATAAGCGTCCAACTGATTGTCACACATGTTTTAAAAGACGCATATTGCAAAGATCTTTTATTTTCAAATGTTTTTCTTTTCGCCATGTCAACATCAACTGTGCGACGTCCTCAATTTATGCGTCATCAGTTTGAATAGAAATAAAAAAAAATTATTCATATTGTTTCAAAGAGGTTATCTCAAAATTGAAAAAAAAAACTAAACAAAAACCGTATGAGATAAATAGAATCTAGAATTGTGTGATTTAATATTGACTTTATCCAACTCGTTCCCATGGTGAATATTCGCTCGGCAAGCCTCGCGATTATACTCTATTCCAACTCGTTGGATAAAGCCAATGTCAAATCACACAATATAGATATCCTCTCTATATACATTATACTCTTTTTAAAGATTACTTTTAAGATTTCTTTGAAAACCGTCTTGTATCAAAGAACATTATCAGTCGTATAAAAAAAAAGGAATGTACTAAAATATATTTCTTATACTTCATCTGAGTTATTGAGACGCTCTACTTGTATATTATTCGTCTTTTCGTTATTAATTTTTGATATCATTTCTACAGTCTGATTAATCTTACCTTTTCAATTAAAAGACTTCGTCACGTTTTACTTTTAGGCTATTCACACGTCAATTTTTCGCCATTAGTTGTTTGTCATTCTGTTTGCTTTGTACATAATATTGGCCAATATATTCTGACTAAGTTTGTTCTTGTCAGCTTTATAATGATGTATTTTGGTCCAAAAAGTACTTTTTCTGCATATTGTTCTAACCAATGATTAACCAATTTAAAATACTATCATCCTTCGAGCTCTGAGGGGTTATCGACTAGTTGTTAGTCTTATATAAAAGTGTTGAAAGGGTCTTAGTCAAGGAAGTATAGTGACCAACAAACAATATTGAGTAAGTAACTCGTAAAAAGAATTAGCAAAATTATTTAATTAAATCATAATTTTAATACAGAAAATGAAGTTTTTGTATATTTAAATTGATAGGTGTATTTTTGCAAAAATATATACTAGTATCAAATATTTGCTTTTAAAATCAAAATTAATGCTTGGATCCTTTTTGTAAATCATTACAATGTTATTTTGGATATTTTCCATTATTGTAATTGAATGTATAATACATATACATGTATATGTACGTGTATGATACAAAAATGGGTTTTAAAAGTGCTTAAATATTAGCACTATTTATTGTAACAAAATATTTTCTATTTTAATTTTGCTTTTATTAATATACACATTTTATTTGTCTTCGATGACCTAAGTGTAGTATCGTGAAATGACTTTAATTTCTTTTATTTATCTTTATCTATATATATAAAACAATGAAATTATCTCAAGTAATTTTATTTACGTATTAAAATTTGTTTAGGTAAGAGCCAACTGGGTTGAAAATGAAACTACGCATCCTTTTTTATTTATTTTTCCTGGTACACTTACATCGAGTCGCTTTGGAGGTAAATATAACACGCCTGATGACCTATCAGCTCACCATGTGTGGACCAGTCTTCTTTTGCAATGTGTCAAAGTGGAACTTTCCTTACTTGGATTCTAAGACTAACTACAACCACACACTATGTCCCCCGTGTTTCTGTGATTCCTCGTGTTTCAGCAGAGGAGATTGTTGTCCTGATAAATATTTCGAGACAGACGGCCTAACCTGTTTTAATGTTACCTCCATAAATGCAACAAGGGACATCAGCAGGGACCAAAGAACACGATATTTAATGATTACAAAATGTCCACCTAACACTGGCAGAACGTTAAAGGATAACTGTGAAATTGAAAGCGAAAGTGTGCTCAAGTTAAAATTCCCCCCGGTAACAAGTTTGGTTACAAATATGACGTATGTTAACAAATATTGTGCTCAGTGTCACGATGACCAATCTACCCTGCATTGGTCTGTGGACATCTATTGTAGATTATTTTTAGATATTAACTTTCTATCATCTTTTGAAGAAGTTTTTACTAAAGGACTGGAGAGAAAGTGCATAATGCAATCAGTGCCTCCCACGGCGAGTTCATACTACAATTGCTACAGAGTACTAGAGCACAAGTTGGGGTCATGTAACGAGACAGGATTTTGGAAGGAAAAGGATCAGGATATATTGAATGCTTGTCATTCCTATTACGTGAACAATAATACATTGTTCAAAAACATGTTTTGTAAAATATGCAATCCTACGTTCTACGACGGCGAAATCATAACGGAATGCAATATTACTGGAAAATGGGACTTCTTTGACTCTAATTTAAAAGAGGCATGTTCTTTTTATGGTTATAATGCTGGCATCTTGCCATACAAAAATATATTTTGTCGAAAATGCAATGCCCCTGAGAGTTTGTTGCATGAATATCTAGATGCTGTCGCGAACACAAGTATTGAAATCCTGTATTCCAAAGAAGGAAAGACGACATATCATTATAATGTTAACTTCAGAGGATTTCCCGAAGAGCACTTTAAATTTGTGCACAAAACTCATCATGAGAAACACGATTTTGTAAAAAGACCAGAAATATACATTAACAAAACTCATACATTGAATGTAACTGAATTGATTCATAAATCAATTGCCATTAAGAAGTTTGCTAAGGTATGTGAGGACCATAACATTCCAAACGCGATATCCGGAATTCTTCGACCATGCAGTTGTACCCCTTCATGTTTTGCACATTGGAATTGTTGTGAAGATTTCGCTTTAAGATACCCTAGTGCCTGTTTGATTGAAAAATATTTATCCGGGGAAAAATAACTCATTCTTCAATACTGGTGAATTTTTAAAATATATTTCTTTTCTCCTTTATTTTCCAATAAATAAAGTATAAGCAGATAGATTGATATTGATATGATTTGATACTTGTGTAAGGATATAGCATAAATAGTTTTATGAATATGAGTTGAGGAATAAAAAAATATTGATCATTGTTGTATTGCATTTAGCGGATTTAAATTGCAGAAAATGTGACATAATTTTCGAATAGGCATAAAGATGTTGTTTTATTTAAAAATAAAATCATTTGGCATGATATATGTGTACATTATCTTAGCATATAAATGAAATAATATATTTATTTTGTCAAACATGCTAAAATTATCCTAATTATTTTTTTCTGAACGTAAAAATTTGTGGTTTATGTTCGTAACGGGTGGTGTCCATATGCATTGAAGTTTCTGACACCTCTCTACAAACATTAAATAATTTGTCAAGTTCAATTTCTGTGTTTAATTAATGAGTATATGTGATAAATTATTTTAAACAATATGCTTCATGAGCATAACTCAGTTCTTTTCGTAATTATAAAATGATCTCTGATTGTAAAATGTTTGGTGTCTTGACCGTTACGAACATAATAGCTTTCAGTATGATTGCTAAAATAACAGCCAATGAATCATAAGTTTGTCTCAGGAAGTCCGTAGCAGTGGTATGATTATAAATTGAAAAAGAAAGTAGAAAGGTTGCGCAGCTGTCTGCTAAAAAACATGGCGATGCTCATTGTGTCCATGTGGAAAAAAAGAAGTTACGTACATAATAGATTCGGTAAGTATTTTCATATTGTATCAATTTTAGTGAATGATTAACACATAAATACAGTCATTGTATCTTTATACCACGTAGCTATTAATCAGAAACTAAAATATGTCGCTTATGACTATACAAAATGCATAAATCTGTCCGAGTCGAGCACTTTCGGTTTGACATTTGACTTTTGATTCGCGTCTTTTGTTACGAACATAAGTGTTTTTGCATTATTTGTAAAATCTATTAATATAAAGTTATATTGTACTATATTTTATTCTATATTTGTTAGTTTTGTTCTGTTCTTATCAAAGGATGGATGCTTATTGAATATTTGTTTTAATATTGCCATATCATTTACGCAATTACGTTCGTAACAGACACGAAAACTTGAAGTAGTGACATAATTTGTACTTTAATTGCCTTCTTTCTGGTTTTATCAAGGATACATAATAAATATAATTAAACAGCATATGTGTTGATTACATCATGTTGTATTTTGTTTTATATATTTTTTTTTCTTTCAGATTTACAAGAAATGACTGAATTATGTTCGTAACAATGACACAAAGATCCAAGACTCAAAATAGAAGACCTAGGATATTTAGCAATCCATCTGACAATTTACTTGTCTGCATTAATACTGTTTGAAAGCTAGTCTATTATTAAGCTTTGAAAGGAAATATTAAAGTATTAAAGACAAGTGTTCGATTGTCTTGTTATTTTTTTTGTTCCTTTTTAAAGCCTGATTCGGAGTTAGGTGTCCATGTTACTTACATAATTTCTCCTTTTTTGAAACTAGATATAAAAATTGTGACATTTTAAATAAATTCCATTTAATATAACATTAAACATGATTTCATCATACCTTATTGATTACATTATTTTCATATTTTAACAACTTGTTAAATTCTAGTAACATGTTACTTGTTTAGTGCTTATGTAAGTAACGGTGTCCATTGGTAATCTTATATATATTTTCTAATTATAATGGAATAAGGCAGAAATAAGTCATGCAATAAAACATGCAAACTAGTGTTTATATACTTCAAAAAGGATTCACCAGAAAAGAATAGCTTATTGATTTAAAAAACAGTCACTGTGGACACCAAGTTACGTACATAAAATTTCAGACATGCTTGCACATTTGGACACCTATCTTCTCTTTAAGACTTCAGATTATCTTCCCATCAATTTTTTTCAGAAGCAGGAAGGGTACTGACTCAAATAATATACATAAATTATGAAATTGATTATTTTTTAAAAATAGCCCTTTGGTCACACATCTGAACTCAGTACTGAAGAATGAGTTAATTTATACAAACAAAGAACAAATATTGAATATTTAGTAACAAATGGATGCTATATGCAAAATGTTTACCAAAGATATTTAGAGGAAGGTTGTCGTGAGAGAATGCCGGACGACATTTTTTCCGTTCATCCCGTACTTGATATTAAGACAAATATTTCTTATTTAAACATGTATTGCTATTTATGCAACATGCCACGATTTAATTTCATTCCATCATCGTCAAAACCATGGGATATCGAAATCTACTGCTCGGTATTCATTGATTTCAAAAGCTTTCTTACAATGGCAAATTTACTAGATACAATAAAAAGATCACGATGTAATGTTACATATCTTCCATTAGAGAAGAGCGACCTTCCACATAACGTTGCCTATTGCTTAAAGACTGATACAATGTACAATGGAATCTGTAATTCTTCAGGAAAGTGGTTTGTTTATGATGACCACGTACGGTATGCTTGCGAGAAAATTGCTTTTGGGGCTCTTTCTGAATTCTATCGCCTACGTTTAAAACCTAGATGTGAGCATCCATATAAAAACGTATATTGTGCCTTATGTAACCCAGAACACACAGAAAATATCACAATAAAAGACTGCAATGTAACCGGTGATGCACCTGCATTTGATGAACTAACTTTAACTGCGTGTAATTTTTTCCCCGAAGTTAATGTTTATCCTCCGTATAAAAATCTTTTTTGTAGAGATTGTAATATTGGTAAACAAGGGGCGGCTTGTGCTGGTCAAAGTAAATTCTTACCCGAGGTCTTCTGGACAGACCCTTTACAATGGTTGCCAATCTACAGAAATTTATTTTCCTGCACGGAATTGAAAAAAACGTTATCCTTAAGGAAACATTCCATATGTAATTCAGCACAAATATATGACTCTTTATCGGTGAGTAGAATTTTTTATATTTTTGTTGGTGAAGTACTTTCTATTGCACTGAGATATAGCCCTTTGCCGTCGTTCATTTCTTATTCAATCTTATCACTTACTTTGTTACTTATTTGTTCTTAAATGAAATCTCTCACCATAAACAAACGAGGCATAATTTTCTTTAAATAGAGTTCTGCAATCTTATTAAAGTGGTTTCTGATTTTGCAGGATCAATGCAGAAACATAACTTGTTATCCTGGAAAATTTTACATTAATGGAAAATGTCTAGCTCTATTTCCTGAAACCAAAAACTTGGGATATATTTTAATTGCCAGTTTCAAGGGTAATGTGTCTTCAATATTTCCTGTCAAAAAGCTGTTGCAGACAATACACCATACAGTGAAAAATAATACAATCCACGACCTGATGATCCAACACACCGATCCACTGGAAGAAGTCATTATTCAAATTGATCAGCCTTGTCTCACAAAGGAACAGTCTTTGTCATTTCTTAACTTTACTGGAAGTATTGCTCTGAAGATGTTCATCAGTGAGAGAGTACCAAGGATTGAAACTGAAGAACGACTAATTACAATTATATCTAGATCATCGATGGCAAAACTTAGAAATTCCCTCATTCATTTATCTTTTAGCTCAAAAAATCACAGACACAATCACTTTCATCTTTTGCAAAAAAGTATGACCGAAAATAGTTCTCGGTGTTCTTTACATATAACGAAAACAAATCCATTAAATCCATTTAGAAATCAATATTTAAATGTAAGGGTTTCAAAGTTACTTACTTGCTCTCAAGTTGAATTTGCTGTAGATGAATATTCTATTGATGAACATTTTGGAGATCTTGTACTTTCAGAATCAAGAAAATCCTACGGTTATGATTCTTTTGATATATTTCCTAATGGATCGGCTAGAGTTTGTATTACAGACTTTGAAACTAAGGAGAGTTTTATAGTCAAAGAAGAAAAAAATGGTATTTTACTTTCCAAACTGATTTTTATATTGAATGCTGTTTCCATTGTTTTTCTGATAATAACATTCTTTGTGTATATTTTTATCAAAGAGCTGCAAACATTGCCAGGTAAAAATAACATGATTTTAGTCCTATCGCTAGCATTATCCCTTGTAATATTTCAGTTAAGTGATATTGGAATGCCGAATACAACGTTCTGTAAAGGAATTGGAGTCGTTCTGCATTATTTCTGGTTGGTGGCTTTTTCATCGATGACCACGTGTTGTTATCACATGTTCAAAATGTTCTATTCCTCTGGGTTAATTTTAGAAGATAAAAACAGAACATTTAAAATGTATATAACATTAATCATAATGTGCCCTGCTTTCATTGTTACTCTAAACGTTATTATTTTGTTCTCTATTTATGATAATGGATACATTGGTTATGGAGTACAAAAATGTTTTATTGACAACTTAATTTCACGTATACTATCGTTTATTCTGCCAATAAGTATTATGTGTGTTTCAAATACATTATTTTTCATTGGTACCATAATTTCGATTAAGAAAGTTCCAGATGTACCCGGAAACAAATCAATGAGAAATGAATTTCTGATTTTTTCTCGTCTATTCACCATCACTGGAATAACCTGGATCCTACAAGTCATTGATGGTTTCATTCCTTTTACAATCTTTACATATGTTTCATCACTCATTAACAGCGTACAAGGTATTGCCATTTTTGCTGCTTTTATCTGTAATAAAAGGGTATATGCTCTTTTAAGAGAGATTTACAGACAAAAAACACGATCTTTGGGTAAAATACAGGAAAACACAGAATCGAATTCAGAAAAATGTTCCGAGATTACCAAGCTGTAAATTCAATGTAAAGGGTAAAGATTATGAAGAGTGATCGATTTAAAAAATCTATACACAATGCTATGCAAATATCTAATAAGGGTATAAAACATCGAGCCCTGGAAATTTCAGAAATGGGATCAGGTATCTGGGAGGGGTAGGCATCCCATATTGATTGATGGATCACACACGGCGTAAGCGTCATGTACTAATCAAGTAGACGGAACTTTCTGTTTCCAAATTCAGAATAAAACACAGGTCTTACCAAGTCAGAGGAAATACGACTCAGTGATTGGCTATATTTCAAGACGGAAGATCTCTACCTTTTTCATTTCTGAACCTTTTATGTATTGTATAGATTTTTCTGTTGATAACATAATGCTACTAAAATTTAATTACTTTTAATATTGTCGTTGTTTTATTTTTTATACAATTTACATGTTTATATATATAATTGGAACAATGTTATAAATAAAACATGATAAATGTATGACTAACATTTTTCATTTAATATGATTGTGTATTAATTCTTTGTAGATTACTGTTAAATAATGTTTTTTTAAACTCTGGTTGTATTGTATATGATAAATTTATAATTTCTTTAAATGATCTTCCATACTTGTTTGAGATGAGACCATTGCTTTTAAAAAAGATATCATTCTTTATTGAACCGTCTATCATTTGAACTGAAAGTCTTTTTCAATAAAAATTAAATATTAAAGAGTGGCTTTTGTGTTTTATATCATTGTTATCCCTTCGTTTGTCAGAGTGCCAAGAAATGGAGAGACAAGTTGGTCTTTTTATTGATTTTTTTTTCCTGATAACCTGTTGTTTTCTTTCTTATGTCTTTCCGTCAGTCTGTTAACTTTTTTCAGTTATTTTATATTCTTTTTTTTCTTCTTTTTTTTTTTGTAATCACCGGATTAATTTCAGCCAAATTAACCTAAAATCAAACATCTTTGGAGAAGGAAAATTAAGTTTTTTATCGTAGAGCAGACTCTTTTAAGATAGACTTTCCGATAATACATGTAGTGTATATTGAAATTTCTTTAATCTGCCATCATGCTTTAAGTTTTAATTGTTCAATATTTTAATTGATAGCGTATTTTTACTTCTTTTTCTGCAAACAAGCATGCACATGACGCATTCCATCAACGTCATTGTAGTACACAATTTTTCTATGTTTTTTTTTAAAGAATCCAACAATAACATTATGAAGTCGAATCTCCTTGTCCAAACTAGTTCTAACCTAGCTTTGTTGAATGTTTCTCGAGAGTTTTGTACTGTTAAAATACAATTAGGTCAAAAAATTTACAACTCATTTGACTGAACCAAGCCAATTTAAAAAAAAACAGGAACTTTCAAATTCGACGCCGCTCTCAATTTATTTTTAATTGAAGTTTTTAAACGTTTTCTACAGGTTTTGTGCTATTTTTCCTTATTTTGCTCTGGAAATCAGATATTTAATTACTTATCACAAATAATTCGGAACCAACTACTGGGGTATCTAATTATTATCCGTTTAAATAAAATAACTCCGCATAACTTCTTGTGGTGGGATGAAATGCGATACTTCTACCCGGGATACAAGATATTTTATTCTCTCAGTCATGTGAGAATCTGGGTATATAATGTGATGCGTTTTTATTATAGAATTTTACGGTGAATGACAACAGGATAATTGTATTATGAGTGTAAGCATTTTATGCATGGATAATATTCAACTACAAGTTAAATCATTTTTCATGCAATTATTTACCGTCATTTAATAAATATTTAGCTGTTCTTAATTTTAGCATTTATATACAATGTTAAACAGACGAAACATACGGAGATAACGAACAGTATTCAAGATCAAAAGTCCATAAAACAAAACAAAATAGGAGCAGATCAAACAAGGGCCTCTAAAACATCAGAGATGTGATCAGGTGCCATGGAAGATAAGCATCCCCTGCCGAAGGGTCACGCCCTCCGTTTGCTCCTTGCCATGATCGGGAACTAACGGGAAAATCCTTTGTCAATTCAGTATATAAATAATGGACTAGCAATAAGTATGAAACACGTCAGTCAGCATTTGACTCAATAATAAATTATATTTGCTGACAATGTAATTGTATCGACCACAGAACTTATGAAATGATGACTTTAAACGAGACTGTTGATATTCTTGATTCGTCAACTTGTTTGTCAATAATTTACCTCGTTTCAGAAATTGTTCAAACGTAGAGCATGTTCTTGCGTATTGAATCAACTGAGATATATATCCGTACGAAGGTGGAAAGGTATATTGCTGCATAAGTAAGGGAATTTGACGATAGAAAAGTTAAAGTCATCACGTTTATCATAGAGCTTGGTTGTTAGATTACCATTAACGTCTTTTTTTCATGCAAGTAAAATATCGAAATATGAAACAGATTTGTGAGACTCCGGTATCTTTTATCACAAGCTCACCAGGATATATCGTATCGACATAAGAATGGAAATTACCATTGTTAATTGACAATACGTCGTCGATATATCTAAATGTCGAGTTAAAGGTCGCAGCAAGTGTTTTCTTCTTTTTAGGCATAAGATTTTGCACAAATTCTACTTCACATGAATATTGAAATAGGTCTGCTAATAACGGGGTGCAATTGGTACCCATGATAATTCCAATAGATTGTTGGAAGACATTGTCTCCAAAAACAACATAGATATTGTCAAGCAGAAACTCTAACATCTTTTTGATGTCAACTTCAGAGTACTTGTGTGTACAATCAGAATGTTTTTAACGAAATTAAGCAAATGACCAGTTACAAGGTAAGTAAATGTACGAGTTCCATTTTCATATATAAGAACACAGTATAAATCAATTTTCTTTCCTCATTTACTAATGTACAAAAAACACCTTTTAAAAAAATATATATAAAGAAATCAATTTCACCGATAGGCATTTTTTACTTTCATATAATAATTTCCGTACACGCTCTGGCGCCTATCAGCAATGACTGCCTTCCACATGGGATCGATTTCTTTATCCTTAGCCGGCATTACTAGATATTTACACTTTCTTCTCTGTTCCTTGTAACATTTTAGACCTTCCGGATGCATAAAAGTTAAATTTCCTCCGAAATTTTCGTGCACCACATTTTTCACACGACTTGGAAGCAAACCAAATAAATAGAAATCATCCACCCAAAAAAATGGTGCCGTGAACACGGCTTGATACAGAGCTGGAATCAGGTCTGTTGATATAAACACTACAAATCCACTGCAATATGTATGTGGATACGTATTCTGTGCTTTGTAAAATATGTCACTCACAAACCACTTGCTCGAATTTTTCCGGATAATTGGCATTGAGTTTGGGTTGATTTTATTGCAGAAAATGAATCGTTTTCGTTGTTTCAAAAAAGAGAATTCTTCAAAAAATTTGAAAAAGTTAATAAATGAATCATCATCAATTTTTATCACAATTTCTGCATTCATGCAGTTTTCTGTAATCCAGCGATATCCCATCACGCCCTTGTTGGTGAGGTTCCTATAGGAGTCCACAAAGTCTCCTTGAATTATATCATGATAAAGAGAATTCTCTTTTTCCAACTCTTTCTGGATATTTTTATCACTTGATGTACCAACTAAGAATATCACTTGCAAGTTTTCCGGGCTATAGTGGGAGATATTAAGCCACGTCCGTCGCATTTCTTTTCTTCTCCAGAAGTTACCAATAGAAGTATGTACCATTACTAGGGCTGAGATCTTGTCATATTGTCGACACAGGTTCCTGTTTTTAATGAGATAGGGTGCATACATGCCGACTGGGTATTGTGTTTTAGTTTTTATGATTCTAATCCCTGTGGTAGTTTCATAGTTATTATCGTACATGGGCTCCAAAATCCTAAAACTGTCTCCTGTTTCCTCATAATATACATGTATATTTTCATTATCCATGGTTAAAAACAATAAAGTAAACATCACTAAACACGATAGACTAACGAATTTCAAATACGAACAGTTTCTATTCATTTCTGTTTCCTTTGTTGTCGCTAGACTCTGAAAAACAAATGAAAATAATTTATCATATATATATTTACTTTGTATTTACATAATGACACACCAGATTCAAATTGATCATCAACTCTGAGGCATTTTCAAACTTCCAAATGATTTTTTAAAATTATTTAATAAAAAAAAATCTATACCGATTCTGAAAAGGGAAAAGAGAGAGAGGTAACCAAGAAAGTGTGTTTATTGTTGTGTACATCTATTCTTCATCTTGGCGGTCTCACTGTTCTGTTTTTTTTTTTTCTGTTTTACATGTATAAATAGTTATCTATCTTTGATCATTTTAATATCTAGTTATTCAAGCCATCATATTGACCTTGATTAATAGCAAAATGAAATCAATCACTGGGCGTAATTTGGCTGAATTGTTTCATACTAATTGTTAGGCCTTTGTTTTTTTATACTGATTTTGACTACGGAATGTTCTGTCTACAATGTCTATACAAAGGGCATACGATGGGTGTGACCGGTTAACAGGGGATGCTTACTCCTCTTATGCACTTGAAAATTTATTTCTCAAGACTTGTTTATGTTTTAAATTTTATTATTGGTATTTTTTTTAGCTGTTCGTGATCTTTTTTTGGACCGTTAATTCCATAAAATTAATTTAAAAAATATTGAAGATGAATTTATTTTTAAAACTTGTTAATGTTTTAAATCAAGTTACTTAGTTTATTTTTTCATTATTTTCGAAAATCTCGAATAATAAAATATCCTCTTTAGCCAAACATATGTTAAGAATGTAGATCTTATTACATGCTTAATAATACAAAAAAATGTTTTGCAAGAATTACATGTAGTGTCAGCAACAAATCCTTGATGATAGCATTTCAATACTGCTTCAACAATTTATCAATATAAAAACACATTTGATCTGGATAGCACACGAGTAAATGTATGTAGTAACAAATAACTGTTTTAGTTACTCAAGTTCTAATTTATTGATCATCTGAAAATCATCTAAGATACAACGGAAGTTGAGTGTGTTTCTGCTTGGATACATCTCATAATTATGTAAAGAGAGTGTAAGACCAGACCATTTGATTATTTGAATCGATAATACAAGTAATCAAATGGTCTGACTCTTTTCTTTTGAAATTTTCCTCTTTCCGCCACCTTTTTAAAATTCATATTTCATTGTGTATAAAGAGAACCGATACAAGTTCTGGAAAGTTTGCAAAGCTACTAGTAATTGCAATGGCAAAAATGATTGAACCTGTTGTCATTTAGCTTTCTTCATGCGAAAAGCATTGAAAGAGAGTTATACACTAGTTATTACAAACCTTTCAATCATTGCATACAAAGAAGGCGCAACAAACACAACAAACTAATAGATCTTTAAAGTGTTTCTTTTAAATTGAAACGTTGAAGGATACATAAAAACTGATAGGTTCATAAATTGGAAATGTCGAGCTAACTGTATGTCCGATTTATGGAAATGTGTGGTCTAAGAAAATATGTTGATGAACATAACTTTCTTTAAAACAAAGTAAATAAAATGTTATATAGAAGAAAAAATGAAGATAAATCGTGATCTAAATATGAATTTCGTAAAAATTAATTTAAAACAACTTGTGTCCCGAATACGATCCTAGGGTAGACTGAACTTGCAAATAGGGCCCTAGTAACCACTATAAAATTTGCTTAACGAGAAACAAGAAAACCTCATGCACATTGAATTATATTAATTTGAAATTTCTCTGTAGTTATTAAAATGGGTCGTACTCAGAGCATGTTCATGCAAACGAATGATTTTGGAGACGTAAACAACAGATGGTAGTAAAGTGCAATTATCTAAAATGTAAAAGTTGAAAGTTGCCCCGTTTATCGTCCAACTTTATTGTCCCCCGCTTGAAAAGTGGGGGATATTAATTTGGGTTTGTCCGTCCGTCCGTCCGTCCGTCTGTCCGTCCGTCCGTCCGTCCGTCCGTCTTTCTGTCTGTCTGTAACGCTTTCGTTTCCACACGATATCTCGAGAACCCTTTGAGCTTTTGCAATGAAATTTAGCATAGCAACTCCCTATGGACTAAAGAAGACCCCTATTGATTTTGAGGTCAAAAGGTCAAAGGTCAAGGTCATAAATAAGCAAATTCTGTCTGTTAAAACACTTTCGTTTCCACACGATATCTCTAGAACCATTTGAGCTATTGCAATGAAATTTTACATAACAACTCCCTGTGGCCTAAAGAAGACCCCTATTGATTTTGAGGTCAAAAGGTCAAAGTTCAAGGTCGTAAATTTATACATTCTGTCTGTGTGTAACACTATCATTTCCGGGCGATATTTCAAGAAGATTTTGAGCTGATGCAATGTAATTTTATACCAAAACTCCCTAGGACGTCTCTCGCCCCTCTCAAAGTGCCCCACCCCGTTTGTTTTATTAGTATTTATAGTATTACATGTCGCTATTTTTAGCGCAGGGGCATGAGGAGAGTTATTGCGTATAAAACAGGTTCTCGGCGGACTTTATGTTCTTATTACATCTATTAGAACTGTTTAATAAAGGCTAAATAAATCAAACACCATGGATTGTGTAAAATTTTGAGAATAGGCCTATTTAAAAAAAAAATAAATAAAAAAAAAAAATAAATAAAATAAAAAACAAATTTTCGGTAGTGGATGTTCGAACATGAAAACATGAATATATACATGTATGTGACTTCAGTTCTGCATATACTTCACTTCGTGTAAAGCGACTCCGTGGTCTAGTGGTTATGTCTCTAGCTTCAAATGTGAGAGGTCCAGGGATCGAATCTCGGTCGGACCGTTCTTTTTTTTTTTTTTTTTTTTACTTTTTTTTTTTTTTTTAAATGATAGTATTCAGCATGTGAAATGAAAAATTTATGAGGTTATAAAATCATCATTACAGTGTGATAAATATTCCATATGAAAAAATCTTCTATACACATAATAAAGAATAAGCAATCAAATCTTTATATGCATATTGACATACATGTATTTTATTTCCTTCAGTATACATGTATACATTTAATAATTCTACAAATTCAGTCAGGGGAGCCGACTTTTTCCCTAAGCGGGGGACACGAATTCTCTGAATTAGCTTGTTTTTATGTTGTTTTTAACGTTTATGATCAATACTTATTCAAAACTGTATCAGATCTTCTAGTTTCTGTGTGCTTTTTTTATTTCGACTTCATTGGGATTTATTTGGACAACATATAAATATAAAAAAGTAAAATGTCATTTTGTGTAATGCTTGTTATTATTTGTATTGTTTGTTATTTTTAAAAATCTTATTATCGAATAGAATGCCAAAGCAAGATTTTTCTTCTTTGCCATGTATGAATAAATGCGCCTTCATACAGCAAGGATAAAAAAACTTGTGGACCAATTTAGGGGCAAAATTACGCCCAGGAAGAACTTGGTCTCTAAAGACTATGTATATATTGCCAGGAACTCTAGCATCCTTTTAATAGTAGGTTCAGAGTACATGTATTTAGGTCACAGAAGATCATCATTTAACTATAATGACATTTTTGTGTAAAGAACGGATACAACATTTACACATAATTTCTACAAACACAAACACAAAGTATTTTTAATTTGTTCTCTTTATTTACTTCTTATTTAGTTCACTACTTGTATACTTATTACTCATTACAATTACTATGATGATGTTGCTTTCAAACATAATTGGAAATAATTGACCATATATTCTCCTACTGTTAAAACTTAAAAGCTTTAAAAAGTGAAAGGACAAGGTATGGTAATATTTTATGTAAAAATCAAAAAAAATCTAAAATTGTATACGTTTCCAGTTATGAACTTTAAATAAAAAACAGAAATGAATTTGATTCAAAGAGTACAGAGAGTCCACGAAAGAGTGCCAAAGTTAGACATATTACCAAATTTCATCAATTCTGGTGGAATTTTATAAAATTTGAGACACTTTTTTTCGGGAAACACAGCAAAAATCGTGCCTATTCGAATTCTTATGCAAAAGATGCAACTTAAACTAGTGCATAAAATACTTGTACTTGTGTATATATACGATGTTCTTTACGGTGTCTGTTAAACGTTTTAAATATCTAAACTTCGAATATCCAATAATCTAGAAAAGGGTCCGTAATAAAATACACTGTTTCAACCTTAGTCGAAAAGCTTGAAAAAAAAAAAAGAAGAATGTTAGGGAAACACCGTGATTTGACTTCAGGCTCCTGGAGACTGTTTAGCTCTGTATTGACGATGACCTCATTTTTCATTCTATATTGATTCCAATTTACCATGCTTCTCAGTTTCTTCAATTAAAATAAGGAATTTCAAAAATGAAACAAAATGGACGAGCTATAAAAACTTCACAGTTGTTGTGAGAATTTAAGATCGACCTATCATGTATCACAACAAAGAAAAGCCTTACCTTCAAAGGTATACATAACCTCGTTTGCATATTGGGAATCTGTTTTATACATTGTTATTCGTTAACAGGGAAAATCAGATTGTGTAACTACTGAAAATCGATTATTTGATGACGGTTAGTAAAAGGCATTGTAGAGTATTGTCCTAGTTCATTTTTGACATTTTGTTTGTTGAATTCAGGTAAAACCACGGGGGACTTTTTTAATGAAATAATAAAAAAAAAGTATTAATGACAAAATCTGCACACCTATTTCATTTGAATTTTTTTCATTGAATTGAGTCCTTATAGAAATCATTGGCTATCGAAAGATGCATCTGAAATTGGAAATTTATTGATCAATTCAGAGTGATTTAAAAACCCCTTCTTCAGTCCCATCGTCTCAATAGCTTTAAATATGTTCCAATAATGAAAATGATAAAATTATGAATATTTGTCTTCTTTACTCCCATTTCGATTCAAAGCAAACTATGTCACTAAGGGAGGGAACAACTGGGGTGTGAGATTTCAATCAGATACATTTGTAACTTTATCAACATCTTCTTGATATTTGTTAACAAAACCGGACACATTCAGTATACAACCCCGTACATGCTAAGGTGCGAGTCAAA